GATCGTGGTTTAATTAGAATCAAAACCTTTTGTGTGTCGAGGGTTATACAGTCAATTTTGTTTTATATGCTTCAAAAGTGTTTACCGTTATCTGTGTTGATGGTTTTGAAGGACCGCCCGCGACCCGACACGTTCCACCTCGTTGCTAGGCTGACCTCACTCTGCATATTGAAAAGAGCGTGGTTAGCATGTCAGAGCTACCCACCCTTGGCTCACAGGGAGCAGTCATTATATATACGATAAATATGTATGAAGCTTATAACGAGCGTTTTGCTGAAGAATTCGTTAATGAAATATGTATAAATAGTTACCACATTCACATTATTATGATACATTACTCTTTGAACGTTTTATAGTGATTTTCGTGGCTGATGTAAGTAAAATTAAAAAATCAAAAGACTTGAAGCGCTCTTAAAATCCTTGGTGATTTGGGGAACAGAATAAATATATCCTTGAAACACACGACGTTTACTGAACATTTCATGATATCTTACTGTGATACTGCTATAGATGAATAATCTCTAAGTCCCCGGCTGTGTAATCGTCTAAAAGTTCAAAGGTATAGATTGTAGTGTCGCTGTCATATGTTACGTTGAACCACGATGGATAGCCAGTAACTTGCCCTAGTACCATTCCCACATAATACTTCTGTTCCCCATTTTCTAAATTAAATAAATGATTTACTTTTTGCCCCACCAGAAATTGACACCTCATTTGGCACCGGTGTTTCAAGTGCAAGATTAAGTTGTATGAGGTGTTTCAAATTACTAGATAATTGGTTAATAGTAAGAGGTTTAGAGGATTTAGAAAATGTTAACAGTTCAGGAGGTGCATCTTGTTTTAACACTAACTTGCGGAATTTTATCTGTTTTTTTATTATGTTCATCTTCTGTGTTTTGGATGTTTTTGAATATACATGATTAAGTTGGTTGTCTACCTCGGCCACGCTTTGCCAAAGACGTTCAAAGGATATGTCTTGGATAAGTTGTGCATGTTCTCTTAATTTCTTTTGTTTTTTCTTTTCCATTTGTTCTTGTTTTTGTCTGAGTTTTTCATGTTTGGCTTGCTTAATGTCATTTTTGCGTGTAATAAAAGTTGCATATGTAGTTTTGTACAATTTCGATGTGTGACCGAGGACGGTGGTCCATTCCTGGTCGGACATAGCACTGATCCAGCTGCTTACTTTATTAAAATTAAACATGATATGGGCCTCTTGGGAGAAAATAGAGGAAGAGGGTTTGGTATGCTGTAAATAATCTAATTGGGCAAAAACAGTTTCGGGGAGCTTATTATGCTTGATTACAGATTTACCTTCGGGATGGGTGAGGTTTGTTTTTGCAGAGTGCTCGCCGCCAGGGAGTTGGTCTGTCAGAAGTCGTTGCAGTAGGGTCGTCAAATTTGGAATTTAAATTTCCAGAATGTGTTCAGTGTCGGCGTCACTGTCCCCACTTTCTGTCAGTTCAGTCAGTACCACGTCATCTGTCTGTTTGGGAACAGCAGTATCATCAGGACCACCGTCGTCATTGTCAGCCGTTTGTCTTTTGTTACCTGAATCAGAGTCTCTGTCATTGTTTGCCATGAATAAATTGCATTGCCCTAAAATAAACTGTGTGTAGTTGAGAGTTTGCATGTTGTGTATTAGTGTTGTGTAGATGCTACTCATGTCCAGCACGCTATGATCACGCCCCTCCAAAATATTCCACAGAGGGGTAGTGATAAATTTGGAAATCAGGCCTAAAGCTCGACACCCTGCTAAATTTAAACTATTGTGTAGTGATTGTTTGATGGAAGCCAAAAGGAGATTAGAGCCTGCATTTACAGTATCAAAGAAAGATACAAAATGCTTATGTAAATAATATACCACCGTGGCATTGTGGAAAAGGATATTGAAACTGTTGCTACGGAAATTTGTTAATTTATTGTTTACCCCCCCCTTGATTCTAAGAATAGTGTCATAAGTTCGTAGCAACCGCTTTTTTCGTCCCCTCCATGTGAAAACGCCTTGCAGCACATCCTAATCAAACTTACAACTTCACTTTCCGACCGGGATGCTTTAGCAATCTTAGCCTCGTACTGGCTGCGAGTGGACGCACTTTGGTCGGCAAGGTTGACCAAAAGGTGAAGACCACAATAAAATTTTATACAAACCTGTAGAGGTTATGAATTCTTTGAAGAAAGTCCTCTTTGGGGTACATATAACCATTTAAATGTCCATTTAAAATCCTACGACAGTTGTAACTATATTTTTAATAAAATATTTACAAAACAAAAAACTCGTTTTGTCTTGTGAGACCACCCCTACAGGGCCCCACCGGACCCCCTACAGACAAGAGCAGGTAACTCTCGCCGTCTACCTCGTACCTCACTTTTCATGCTGAACTTGTCAGAATGAGGGGAGGCGGGTTGCCGTACCCCAAGGAGGACTTTCTTCAAAGAATTCATAACCTCTACAGGTTTGTATAATTCTTTTTTAGAAGAAGTCCTCCTTGGGGTACATATAAGCATATGACAGACTCCCAAAGATATTTGAGACGGGAGTGGCATTCTGTCTGGCAACAACTAAACCCGTGGTTGAGTGAAATCTACAACCGATACGGAAATAGAAAAAAAACACACTTACCGAGCCACCTGACAGCTGATGTCAATCAGGCGGGGGCGTGGCTAGGGCGGGAACTAGAGAGCCCAAGCTTATACGTCAATTGGCTCAAATCAATTATTACATAAAACCCCACCCCCCAACCATTACAATGGAAAGGAATGTATGGGGACATGCCGAAACAACTCCCAACCCTAATATAGCCCCAGCCAGAGAAGCGTGGCGAGAGGTATAAGGGTAGGGAAAGCGTAAAAATTTAACCGCTAAAAAGCCAATAACCCAGGAGTCGAGCAAAGTACTGCAAACTAATGCTCGGATGCACCCCTCCTGTTTGGAAGAGGGCTTGCCGGGACCTCGATAAAACCCAGAGAAATTATTAGCCTTGCTAAAAACTTTCTGAGGAAATCGAACGAGTACAAACGCCATGCATTGTACGAGTGAAAAACAGGATAAAACACCCCCACCAAACACTCTCGGCGTGCGGAGGGTAAGTGTAGACCACCATCCCACAAAGCTGATTAACACAGACAAACACCGAAGTCTCAGGAAGAGGGAAAAAACTGTAAGCGTACAAAGTCCATCCCACAAAGCTGATTAACACAGACAAACACCGAAGTCTCAGGAAGAGGGAAAAAACTGTAAGCGTACAAAAATCCCCTGAATAGTCAAAAGCGTAGCCGAACATGTGTTGGCTCACCATTACACTAACCTGGTCACGTGACATGCGGCTCGAAGAGAGGCATACCAAACAGTGCCCCGTGGGGGGTTCGTACCCAATTCCGTCGCAAGACAGGTTAATAGCATATGACTGGTTAAAGCGTTCAAAACGGACCCCGCCCTCTTGAAGAGGACGTAAGGGACGTATGTACACCAAAACCCGACCCAACCCGAAAGGGTGGTAATGCTAATACGATGCAGTGATATGAAATATATCGACATTGAACAAAGAACCGATACCAATGACCAGTTACTAACCTGGTCAGGGTGGCAGGACACTCTCCACTGGAGAGAACCGAAAGTCCGAACAGAGAACGATCCTTAGAATGCGTGTCAAGTCGGTAATGGCGAATGAAGGTGTTCTGTCAGCTCCAAAGAGCGACAGAACCGATCTTTTCATTGAGCAGTGCCGCTGTGTATTGCCAACAAAGCGGCATCTGCCCTACCCAGTCTGCCTTCAACCCCTCGAGGGAAGGTAAACCTTAGCATTGTAACCGAACAATTACGGAAACAAGCCAACGAGATAAAGTTCGCATCGAACACCAACCTAACTGCTGTCAATTCAAGCACATTGATGTGCAGGTTGTGACTTCGTCGTCAAGAGACTGCAGGTCGCCCAGAACATCGCCCTAACCCGGTAGGGATGTATCTGGCTTGGAGAGACGCCTGACGTCTGTCCATCTGACTGTGTGAGGTTGACAATTCCGCCCAGTTTCATAAGAGTGACCAACACTGATCGTGAGGTCCCCAGACTCAACAGTTATTCTAAAACCGAGATGAGCCAGTCGCCTAGGTATGGGTGACAACACCGGCACTGCGATCTGGCTATCTGAGCTGTAATAAACCTGGTGAACACCCTTGGCGCCGTAATGTAGCATAAGGGGAGCACACAAAACTGGTAGCACGTCCCGTCAAACAAGAACCGAAGGTAAATCTTGAAATCAGGGTGCAATGGAACAAGCAGGTACGCGACCTCGAGGCCAATCCCCCCTGTCTCGAAAAATGAGATCACCGAGCGCGGCGTCTCCATCTTGAAGGACAGTACCTCTATTAACTTGTTCAGCTCTCAGATGAGAATCTGTCTGAACATTCCTTTCTTAATGGCAACGTCATTTTCCTGACCATTGGAAACCATCACGCTGTTGCCTTGCCCAGCAGAGACTGGATCCCGGCACGGAGTATTTTCGCCGTCTCCCGGGAAGCTGACACTGGGGTGTGTCGCTCCGACCGGGGTTTGCGGCAGAATACAGTAAACCCCAGCAGTCGGCAACTTAACGTTTGCCGGTGCCTGGGCACCTGAGGAACTAACAAGAAGCTTGACAGACTTCCGTATTCCTCAAAACAGTCCCGGGCGCCATAACCGCACTCATCATTTGGCTGGCAAAGCTACAATGCAGTCCCTAGCCAGATGAGAGTTGACCTCCCGTCAGATGCCGCTCAGAGTCGCCGACGAAAAAACCACCGGTGCTCTCTCCCCTTTCCACCAGCTCCCCCCAGCAGAGCTGAGAGATGCGCCAAGAGCATACAGCATTGAGCTGTTAAGGGGAAAGAACGGCAGACTGACGGTAGAGTGTGAGGCCATGTCCCGGATGCCTTGCTGGAAGCAGGCTTCCCTCTGGGAGGCGAACTCCAACGGTTCAGGTATTCGACGTGGACAACACCTGAGGCAACACAGCCGCAATTCTATCTCGCACTTGCCTCAGGGACGAACCTACTCAGTCAGTATTCCCGGTGGTTTTGAAAATTACCGGCGGCTTATGTCGACGGGGTCCGAAAATTCCGGCTGAACTAGTTTTTATCCGGAGAGACAAAGTAATCAGTATTCTTAACGATATACTGTTAATAAATGTGTTGAAAAGTCTGCCGTACGTGTTGCTTGTTTTTCGAGAATGTTCATTAGACCTACATTACAACTGACACGATCAGAAAATGAATGCGATCCAACTAAATTCGATAAATGTGTTCAGAATGTCATTCGCTATCTGAATGCCTGTGAAATGTGCAAATAATTAATGTTTATATACCTGTGGTGAACTTCAATCTGCATTTCACGAGTTACTTAGCAACCTTTGTTAGACAATATGAAGGTTCGTGTCGTGAGCGCAGCTGACATGTAACCTTGGCTCTGATTGGATGAAAAGGGAACTCCATGTGAAACACAACTCTTGATTGGTCAGCCTGTCAGTGGTACAACTAAGCGAAGGCATGTGACAAGTCGGGACCTGCATTAAATAATATAATCGACGGTGCTTTATGATGTTGAAAAATCTATACTTACGAAGTAAGGAATTGATGTTAATCCATTCAACTCCGGAGGCCGATTAAGCGGCCAGGCAGTAGTCACGTCAAAATGAGACATAATTTTAGGAACCTACCTGACTTATGATTCATATATTAGATCTATCATATTTCACAATGTCTGAAAACACTTATTAAATTTCAATTTATCATATAATCAGCAGAATTAAAATTATAAACTATTTTTCGCAATGTTATTGAAAACAACGATTCTCGGACACATCCTTCGGCAGCGCGTCCACAATAACATTGTCAAAGAGCAAAGTAACGATGTTTCGAGGAATTCATTAAATAAATTGGATAAACTAATGAATAAAATCAACAACAACATTCATAAAAGTTGTCAAACGTACATATAAAATTACTATTTCCATCTTTTTGTGCGATCATGTAATGTATGTCAAGTCACTGGCAAGTGACATCTCGGCTCTCGCCGCCTCAATCTTCACGCTCAGACACGATGTTTAATGCGAAAATATATACATGAAGCATTTTTGTCACAGGTCATAACCTAACACCATTCGTCAAATAAGTTCCATAATTTACGTATAGGTAGCGATTTGTTGCTTGCTTAGTATGCTCAGAATAGCATTATTTTACCCAAAACTTTTGTCTAAATCTAAAAGTTTTCGTTTATCTATTGCCGAAATATGATTGGCTGCTTTAGGTCACGTGTCTGATTTTGACCAATTACGACCCTTATAGCAGACTGTGGCAAAAAAGCGTCATTAGAAATCAATCTTTATCCAATAAAATCGCTTCTTACAACTGTGAAAAAACTCTTGGCAAGGGTACAGTGATATTGTTGATGTTCAGAGCTTTCGAACGATGCCCGACATCAAACGATTCGCCTCGCATGTCAGGGAAAATGGATTTCCCAACCTTAAAGATAGGAGACAGCACAATATCACCAAGTGATCAAGCTCGAAACCTCGGAGTTATCTTTGACTCCTCCCTGAGTATGGATCGGCATGCAGACACTGTCTGTAAATCCGCCTTTTTCCATCTGAGAAACATCAGCCAAATCAAGCACTTCATTGACAGATCAGCAATCCAGTCATTAGTCCAAGCACTGGTTATCTCACGATTGGACTATTGCAACTCCCTGATGTTTGGCGTATCGGAGCAAACTCACCAGAGTACAAAATGCAGCAGCAAGACTCATCACTGGTGCAGGCAAATATGAACACATAACGCCAACATTACGTACACTGCATTGGCTGCCAATCAGACAAAGAATTGTCTTCAAGGTGTTAGTGTTTGTGCACAAGGCCCTTCACAACCAAGCTCCAGAATACCTGACTGAACTAGTGTCATGGTATCAGCCATCACGAACCCTGAGATCAGCCTCTTTAAAACAAGCAGTAGTGCCCTCTACCCGCAGAGCGAGTTATGGCGATAGAGCTTTCGCCAAAGCAGGTCCTCTGTTATGGAACCAACTACCTGAAAACTTGAAAAACTTGTCAGACATAATTCCATTCAAAAAAGAACTAAAAACAGTTCTTTTCCACAGAGCATTCGACCAAGTGCCTGAGAGCAAACCTTGGATTCAGGCGCTATACAAATTTTAACATTATATATGTTATTCATACGAAGCTTCGAAAACGGAGGTATTTTCCGTTGTTATGTCATGTTTCCGAGCAGAAAGCCACAGACATCGGAAAATAGGTGACCATACATATTATTTAAGAAATCGTTTTATAATAATTTTCTGATGAGGTAAAAATGAAAATATAAAAGAAAAGGGCACGGGCATGTTATGACATGTCACAAATGGAAAAAAACAGCCATAGTTTTTGCTGCTTTCGTGGTTTATCTGGACGTTATAAATGTAAGCTTGCATTTTCATTCAAAAATACATTTATTTAAGTTGTATTTGTATTATTTGAATAATATTATAAAAATAAACTTCATATTTATCAACAGTATGATTAGATCTTTTAAATGGTGTATGGGATGTAGTAGCAATAATGTTTTACAAGCGTATAATTTCCTTCATAAACATAGGCTTCATCTATGACCTCAGAGTCTCTGGGAACTCGGTGTCATGGCAGGAAATGCCTCTGGTTGACTGGTGTTGAAAGAGTTTATATACGTAATTTACTTATAAAATGAATTTGAAAAATGGTAAATTTAAATACTCCTAACCTCGAATGACGATGATGCAATCATATGGTATCGCATCTGTCAAAACGCTTTAAACGGTAAAAACGCTTTAAACGGTAGTTTACCGGTTTGTATTATGTGTATTTATAGACAGATATCACTGCTTGGGTCAAAGAATCATGAAAATACAAAATCTTGTGTAGCCTAGATATGTATATATGAAGACAAGTAATGGCAGCTGCAGGTGGATTCTGTATAGTAAAACGTAAGGAAAGTATTTCAGATAGACGTTATTAGTTTGCATGATTAAAATGTCACCGCGAATGTTTGTATCGAACTTGTTCATACTGATGCAAGGAAAAACAAACAAAATACAATTCTGGTAAATATTGAAACTCTTAAACTTTATTAAAATTCAAACTGGAAAGTTGCAAAAGAACTTATATCAGGAATTATTATCGTAAAGCCTGTACTCAAAAGTGCGCCAGTAAGTGTCATACTGTCAGTACTATTAGTATTTTAAATGTAAAACTAATTGTTACATGATATCGATCTCTTGGAGTCCAGATTTAAAAGTCTCTTTGTCTGTTGTGTTTCACATGTAACTATGAGAGTTAAATAATACAAAACTATCAACGATAAACAGGAATCATAATGCTGATCGCGCTGCATATGAATACCGACGATCATGTCATGCCAGTCACATTCAACCTACACTTTTCTTTTTTTCTGACGGAAAATCTGAACAGCTCGCGGAACAACATTGTCATCGGCATGCATATTCAGCAACATCAGGTTGTCCAAACGTTCCCGGGAGAGACGATTCCTCGACGCAGTGTGGATGCGATTTTGGAGACTGAATCCTCTCTCCGCAGGGACGCTGCTTACTGGTATTGTCAAAGCAATCGTTGCCATAACAGCAAAATCAGGAAAGAGCGCCTGATAGTCATTAACCAATTACCTGCATGTGTTTGTGAGTGTTTTGGTCCCCAAGTTCGCCAGCGTTCGCTTGAACTGAGAGATATCACGTCTGGCGCGGTCAGTGTCAATTCCAATCAGGTTGTTGACGGTGACGTCATCAGACGTGAAATAAGCGAGAACAACCTCAAGCGAGTCGCTACCGTATTGACCGATGTCGTTGCGAGAAGAGGGGTATTTCGACGGGTTAAAGATTTTGTCCAAAGACACAATGACTGATATACTGTCTTCCGGAAATCTTTTTCTGAGTGCATCACAGAGGTCTGTGATGAAACCTGACCGAGTGTTCTGGAAGGCAGTTCGCGACCGTGGGTCATCATGCGTGAGCTTAATGGATCTGAAAACTCCATCACTGATGTTGTCAAGGAAATATTGTTCACTAGGACCTGGTGAAGTGAGGAGCTCGCTCAACGATTCAATAGAACCATTCACAACGGGATGAATGCAACCAAGGTTGAGTTCATCCCGTCGGAAGACTGTGATCAGCTTGTCCATGATGTGAAGAACATCCGTTAGCATGTACCAAAGGGCAACAAAGGAAAAAGTTTTCATTTTTTTTTTAAGGCCTGTTGCTACAGCATTTTGTCGTGCTGTTGCCTCTTCTTCAATTTCCATACATAATGCTGGTAGGTTGTTTTTTGGTAGACTTAACAGCCCGCCCCAAAGACAACCAACGAACACTACATGGCTGTTTTAAGCTAGAGAATTCTGTGTCGCTGAGAACTTGGGACAAATCTCGCAGACGCTCATAACAAACAGCTGAATACTGATAGAGTTTGTATATTTCATTCACCGTTTTAGTGAAGTCAGTGACAACCTTTGACATCTTGGCGGCATCGTGGGACGCGAGGGAGACTCTGTGTGCGATACAGTGCACATGCACTAAGAACTGACACTCGTCTGTCAACCTCACCCCCACGCCTGACTTATGACCGGTCATCACGCTAGCACCATCGGAGCCAAGACCAACGACTTTGTTGATAGGAATGTTCCATTCTCGAAACACTTCCTTGATCTTGTCTGTGATGGTGCTAGCGGTGCCGTCATGCACAGTGTGATTGCCGAGAAAAACAGTATCTGCCTTTCCATAGTTAACAATTCTTAGAAACATGATGAGTTTTTTTTCAACTGTGATGTTAACTGTTTCATCAATTATCAAACCCACAAATTTACTGTTGGCAATGCGACCCTTTAAGTGCTCAATTGTGCTCGGAGCTAATGATTGTTCAATATCTTGCACTGAGTCATCATGGCTATACACAAGACCACTTAGGGCCAAACATTTGGGTTTTTTTTGCAAAGTTCTTAAGGCGTTAAACTTGTTTGCAGCAATGTTCTCTTGTGCCATCGTAAGCACTGTGTTGCACATCGCAGTGAGACTGTCATCATTCTTCTCACTCTGGGCTTTCTGGCATGCTGCCATAGCTTGTCTATGCGTAGTGCTAGCACAGCCTTGTGATGTGATTGACTTTCCCGATGGTCATTTAGTGCAGATTTTTTTCTATTTACACTTCCTTTAACAAAGCCAATTGCCTGCTGGGCTTCTTCGCAAATTCGGCAAAACATTATCTCATCACCTTCATTTCCTTCTACACGCAGCCATTTGTAATCATTTTGCCAGTCTTGATTGAACTTCGATTGCATAACAACCGTCTTACCGCTACAGTTACTCTTTGATTTTTTTCTCTGAGTCCCATCCTTAGACCTATCATGATCTTCTGTAGCCTTAACCACTGGATTAGATGTTTGACTTTCACTTTGCTTCTTATTTTCCCCCGAAAAGAACCCTGTCAGTGTACGCTGTTTTTTACTACTGGAGCCATGTTTTTTTACTACGCGCGTAAAGATTACCACGTGGTACGGCTATAAATAGATCATGGGAGTGACACTGTCAATGGCAATGTGCGAATGTCCGTATCAGCCAATCACATGGCATGGCTTGATCTGCATATGCGCAGTCTGCTAGAGTCTATATTTAGATGTGGGGTTGCCACCCTAGTTTTCAATATGTTTGCATAATGATCTGAAGAGATCAAAGAATACACAAAGACGTTAACTGCAAGTATATTAAATCTGCCGATAAAAGACAACTTTAAGCAATACAAAATGTACCGACGGCAGTTGAAAATACCGGATCTCCACAATTTTTATCGGTAAAAATCCGGTAATTACCAGAGAACGGGAACACTGTCAGTGGTAAGTTCAAAGTAGCAAAATGAGCCGAAGCTGAAATCGATTTGTCCACAGTACGAGCCTGAACCCCGGTTCCGAGGCACATGTGAGGAGCCTGACAAATCAAGGTTTCCCAAGCACTCAGACAGACCTCGGAGCGTCTAGGTGACCGACACACTCGATAGCATCTTGGTCAAGACGTCGATAGACATCAGGCCGATCTGAACTACCAGCGCCGGGAATATGCGCCCTACCAGTGCCGAAGCCTGGGTCGGTGTTACTCACGGGGTTCAGAGTATCCGCGGAGCCGAAGCTCGGCGGTTCTAGACTGAACCCCGATCCCAAGACACGTAGGAGTAGCCTGATAAATCAGGGTTCCCCAAGTACTCTCAAAAAAGCGCACTGAGCATATAGTCAAACATAGCCTATAGCGCTATATAAATACCCATACATACATATATATATGTAAGTGCTCAGGTCGGCAGTTCGAGTTCGAAGCCCGATCCCGAAACACCTGGGAGTAGCCTGGCAATGCAGGGTTCCCCTGGTGTACACGGGTAGGCCTCGGTGCGTCGAAGTGATCAGTAGCTCCGTCACACTCAATGGCCTCTTGGCCAGGGCATCGATAGACATCAGGCCGAGACCTGAGCTAACAGCGGCGGGGATCTGCTCCGTACCGGGGCCGAAGCCCAGGTCGGTGCTAGTCCGATCCCCGGTCCCGAGACACATGGGAGTAGCCGGGCAATGCAGGGTTCCCCTGGTGTACACGGGTAGACCTAGGAGCTCCGAGGTGATCGGCAGCTCAGTGGAACCCAGACCGGGGCGCAGAGAGGAACCTGCCACTACAGGTTTCCCGGGCAACCCCGACTGACCACTAGGCGCTGAGGTGTCCTCGAGCTGGTCGGCGCCGAGGTGTCCCCGAGCTGGTCGGCGCTGAGGCGACCACCAGTCGAGGGCACCAGTCGAGGGCACCAGGCGAAAACAGGGTGAAACCTGCATCGCCGGCGCCAGGCGCCTGTGACAAACCTGAGCCTGAAGCTAGGTCGCCACAAGGCGCCGAAGGCACACCATCACCTGAGCCGGAGCAAGGATCAAGCTGCCTGGGAGGAGGCGCGTTCCCCGCAAGGGCGTTTATTATGAACATCCTTCATCGTCGTGAGCGTCCTCGGCTAAACACTGGAGGCACACTTTATGACCATCCTGTGGTCTTGTCCTCTCTTTGCTTGTCATATCAAATGGCTGTTGCAGAAACTGCGTCAATTTAATTTTTTGTGCAAGTGTCTTGCTCTTCAGAAAGGTCCCTCTCTTGGTGTCTAGTTGCTTTATTTTTGTATTTAATTTCCTGCTTGTCCACACAGGTTCTTTGAATTTGAACAGTTTAGTTAGCCAAGTAGGTTTCAATTTAAATAGTTGGAGGACTAACCCCACAGTAATTAATCCCACATCGATAGGTGGAATAAGATTGGGGTCATGTGTCTCTGCAAATGTTTGCAGACCAGCTTCTTTGAGAAAGTCTTTCTCCATAATTGCTATAAGACAAACGATAGTAAACCTTTATAAATATATGTATTGTTATATTCATGGTGGACATGTCATAGCGTAATTTATTTTTTTTATATTTAAAACTTACAAAATAATGATGAATAGGGACGCTATATAGAAAAAACCCGCTAAAATCATTCACCACTTTTAACATATTACTAAGGTAGAAAGATATATCAATGCACATTCTGTACCAATTCATGTTGGAAATTGTGAATGAATCACTTGAGTACTGTGATGACACCAGGTGTTTGCCAAAAGAATGAACCTGTCCTGCCCTAGCGGTAGCACCCGTCGTTCACATCTCATAGAGTAACATTGATCAATCAACTATTGTTTATACTTAAACGTACAACCACATAACATAACGTTCAATCTGTGTATAATTTATAATATTTGCGTAAGTGTTTCTGCAGTGATGTGTATAAAATCATTTGTCTACGTCAGTTTTTCATTACAACCTGTTAGTCAGACTTTCAGACATTTACAATCAACAAACAACGTTCTAATAACAATGAAGAAAACGGAGCACCTTTAGAATACAGCACCACAACTTCTCATGGACGATCTCTGCCGTAGGTCACGTGTCATTAAGACAAGCAACCAGTTTGTGAGAACCCGTCGGACGCGAACCCGCGACCTTCGGATTGTTAGCTCGACAGCTAACCGACTGAGCTACGTCCACACTGTTGCACAATGTGCAAATTTATCAAGTCATTCCTGTGACGTCACGGAAATGAACTGAAAGAGTCGAACAGGTCACAGACAATTACGAATGCTACGGGTAGACTTGGTGTCTCGTGATTTTATTCTACGGACAATTGCCGAATGGATCCGATGCCATTTGGCACACTCGTCCCATTCCGTAATCTACAAATTAACGTGTGGCGTGGAATGAGCCAATATGCCTCAAACTGAAAAGGGTTGTTGACGTCAGGCGTCAGACGTAGATTTCACGGTGCATGCATGAATGACGCGCTTTTATATAAATCGGCGATTTTGTGACAGAAAAGTGATGTAGGGAAAACTGTAAGGATAATGTGGATCGCACTAAGGAATGAGGGAGACATGAGCATGTGTAGTGACGGCACGAGGGTGAGTTAGCCTTCGAATCATTACTTTACAAAATTTATGTAGCGTGTGAAAGAGGCAATTTCCATTAGCCCAAAATTTCTACATTAACCCATTTCATAATGTACTTTCGACGTTTTTGGTTTCCCGTTTTTGTGTGAAAAAAAGTATTAAAATGCAAAAAGGAAAAACCAACAAATGGTACTCATGTATTACACCGGACATGTACCTACTATATTGGATTTAGTCCCTAACCCTAACCCTAAACCCTAAACTCTCAGCCCTAACCCTAACCCTTTGAAATAATCCTAATAAATAGAATGTATTGACCGAACCACCGGACATGTACCTACTATATTGCATTAGGTCCCCAACCCAACCCTAAACCCTAACCCTAACGCTAGTCCTAACCCTAACCCCTTGAATTAATCCTAATAAATAGAATGCATTGAGCGAACCGGCACAAACACGACTGACGTGTCTAGCGTAATGCATTATTACCGCTTTGAAAAATAAAATACTAATAAAACACTTTTCTATGTAATGGTGCAAATTACTGAATGACAAAACAATATATGTAAATTTGAAAAATTACAAAATACAAAATACTCAGAACATAACACCTCAGCAGCCCGTAATACAAATAAATATGAGCGTATTAGTGAAAAAAGAAAAATATTTCAAACTGGTGCTTGCAAAATATTGCGCATCCGCCGGTATACAGCTACTGGAAACTCTCAACATCGTTGGGCTTATGCAATGACATAGCTCGTAGAGATGAAACACCAGTGAGCGGAGCTTATACGCACCCGCTGAGCCAGACAACCGTGTTGCCATGCAGGCGTCATATGGCATTGTTTCGAGAACGTGCTTTCGAACAAAATCACATTACATAACGTAAGAGGGTATTATGACGTATTTTTAAAGTTTGTGGTGCTGTATTCTAAATGTAGGCCTAAGCTGGTTCCCAGCTCCCTTTGCGCGCGCTAACGTTCGACAAAGCTAGGAGCCGGTATAGGCTGCCATTTAAAACGCTCTGTTCGTGTATTTGACGTCATATCCGGATTAGTCGAACTGGATTCCGTCGCAATGAAAGATATGGGAATCATAAGACTTGAAAAGTCTTCATTGTGCGAGAATTGCGCTGACGTGGTCCTGGATCTGCATATGGCTATAAAATTACATAGAAATGTAGAATATTAAATTTCCTGTCCGTTGGTATTAAATATAAGTGCACCTACCTCGGCGGTTTGAGAAATAGACACTGTTAAATGTTGTCCAAATCTTTGTTATGCGTTAAAAAGCAGTAAATATCTCCGCTTTTGATTGTGTATTGATGAAAGCACTGTGCTACGAATTTTTTAATTTGGCATTGTTACGGAAAGTGTGAGCGAAAAAAATACAGCCTGATATCTGAACGACATAAGTATATATAGAATGGGTGTGTGTGCTTATGCATAACATTATACGCTCAATCTTAAAAATGACTCGCAATAAATGTCGAAAAAGGATTTTGTTCTATGACGTCAAACGACGACAGAGAGGCCATACGCGTATAAAGATAAGGGGTCATAACTCCCACATGCTTAACACTAGGTCAATGTAACTCAGAAAACTTGGAGAATTTGTTGTGGATATGGACGCTATATTTTCGTTATGGTTTATTCACCATGAACCAAACTATACTAGTACAAAGTTCCACAATGTGAGCGGATATATTTTGATAGTTGCACAATTCATAAGAAAAGATGACAAAGTACTACATGAGAAAGCACGTAATAGCGATTTGGATGGCCCTATCTGATATATAATTTAGTTCTTAGATTCCCATATTCTCCTGTTAGTGTAGATGTATTTTGACTAATTTTGCATCATTATTAATAGAGTACTAGCCATATCGTCAAATGTAATGAAATTACTGAAAATAATACCACTGGATGCGGAAGTATTTTGTGACGCAGTTTCATAGGATCTGAAAAGTGAACGTTGCATTGGATCTACGGTCCTCCGACTATAACATTATGTTCAGATGTAGAATACGAGGTTTTGTATACAACACTAACATTGTCAATTTCCTATTAAAAGTATGTTCAAACCAACTAATGATCAAACGTTCATAAATCTATAAACTACACAGTATAAGATCTGAATTGTGATGATTTGTTTACATTTTAAACAAGTAGAGTTTGCTCCGCCTTCGTTTTCACACCTTATCTATATTGCTCTGTTTCATATAACCACTTTGTATTGATGACAAGACCACACTGCTTAAAAAGCCTTCCCATGTTGATTTAATATTTGGTGAAACTTGATGAACAAAGAGTTTGCCGCGGTGTTGATGCATCGCATCAAAAGTTTTCTTGTTGCTGTACTAAAGTATCTTCAGGACACATTGAGCATTTTCCAAGTGAATAATTCAATACTTATTATCTCCACAACATATTATAAATTCATTTTCCGCCTTACTACTGATTTTGTGCCAGTGTTGGCACACCTACCCACTCTAAGACACACATACCTTTCTAACGTCATCCGCGAGGAAAGTTTAGAATATTTGCAATACAAGATTTAATTTGTATGCGTGGCTCGACCGATGTCCACATGTATAAACTAATAAATATTTGTGTCGTTCATACATCAGAGATGATTTTATTCGCTCACAGTTTTCTGACAAGCTTATAATAAAAATCTTTGTCGCATAGGGAAATTAGTGTGTGCATTTAAAAAACAACGATCTTTTCACGCAAATAAAACGAATATTTACGTTTACTATTATTTTCCGTGAATATTGATATCAAATATGTACAATAACAGAAAGTAAGAATTTTGAAAAAGAAGTTTCCAGAAAATAAGACCAGTATATATTTTCAAAGGTCTTTCAAGCGCCGATTTTTGAAAACGATACATAATGTGTTTTGGACGTCTTCCGATGAAGGACAGCGCGGCCGTCTAAAAATAGCAACCAATGGAAAATGACATAACATTGTCAATAATGAAAAATGAAAGAAATATTGGCATTTATCACATTGGATGTCTTATTGCATCCATGTATAATATAATAGGACGCGAAAATCCTGGTTCGATCAGATTTACTGTACAAAATATATGATAACATAAGGTAACTTAATCAAAACGTTCATGTCGCTTGGCAATAGTCATTAGATCAACATGAAATATCATAAAATATTATTCACACATGAAAGTCATAGTCTTCTTGAATTGACAAGAAAATAGTGAAAGTTTGTTACAAGTATATTTTAAGAATATGTTCCTGTTTATAAAACACAGCCTTAAAGTTTAATTGAGTCGCTGAAATGTGAGTATTTTACGTTATGTTTTAAACATAAGACAAAAGTAGATAAACATATGTCAGACTTCTGTATTTTATTACCTAAATGTCAATGTAATGAAATATACAATTAATAAAAATGCGACAAACAGTACAAGTTTGCCAACTAGCATCGGAATAAGCTGGTAAATCAGAGTCTTAGGACCGATTGGATAAGGGTGTATGATACGTTACGGTGTTTTCATGTATATGGTGAGGATGAAGTGTCATATAAGGATCATATCTCATTAGTATATTGCCCTGAGTTGATGGGAGTACAAATATAAATCTGTCTTCACTTTTTTCTAAGATATTTGTCGAAGGTTTGGCTTAAAGTATTATACGTAACGTAACTTACGTTACAGTATTTTACGTAACAAAGATGTAAGTGAGGGACTGGAACACAAACCAGGACTTAGACATCACAAACGTTGATGACGTAAAACGCAGAAACTATGACGTCATCTGTGAGGTTCATCTTCCGTTGAAAGCACGTTGTGCATGGTTGGACTTCTGTTTGTTCACTAAGGTAAGTTTATTGAACGCACAGAAACAATACCTTTATAGATTCGTAGCCAATTTCTTGATTTCTCAGAAGACTAATTATACAACTTCATATTTTAATCTGAATGTTAATTACACGACATTAATTTGTACTCAGAAATCACGTGTTTATACATAACGTAAAATACAGTGATTGTAACGTAAAATACATTATATCATACAAGGGCTAAAGGATATATAATTGGAAGTTAATACCCTATGAATAGACAAATCAAACACAATTTAATGTTCATCAAAACATATTTCAAAACACATATAATTTGTATAAAGTTAAACATGTAAATTTATAGACAGAAAAGTGTTTGTATAAATGTGTGGGTTAAGTTTAAAAGTAAACTTGATGTAAAAATACATTAAACATTTTAATCAAAAATATACAACACATACGTCTTGCATTTATAAATATTGGTAAATATGCACATTTTAATGCGGTAATAATAAAAATCGAATTCACTATTATACCATTTGTTTTTGCAGCATCTCAGATATGGCTAAAACTGCAGCTGAAAGGCAGAGACAATATCGAGAATGCAAAAAACAAAAAGAAGGTGCCGCATATTTGCAAAGGGAAACTAACAGAGTGAGGCAGTACTACAAGAAAACTGAAGATATGAGCAGAAACGACAAAGATAAGCGTCGTAGAAAGGTTCGGGAACAAGTCAGGGAACACAGGAGAGCAGTGAAGTTGAGAAGACTTGGTGAAAGAGAAGCTGTACCTGCAAGAAGCACTGAGTCAGTTCCAGGAGACACAGAGAACATGGTATCCAGCACAACTGAATAGCCAACTAGTTCTACTGCACCGATGTTGGTTCAACTTCCGTGTATGACATCATCGGGCAAGAAAAGCAGGAAAAGGATAAGCCATGCAGTTTCCAGAGCTAACAGAACAATTGCTCGTCTGAAACATGAGAACCTGACACTGCAGAGAGGTATGAAACGAGTCAGCAAACGTTATGAACGTTTATTCCGTAAACACAAACAACAAACATCAAAATCATCTGAATCTAGCCAGCAATCCACTTCCAATGAGACAACGACAGAAGACTCTGACACTATGACTCCAAAGCGGAAAACTGAAAAAGAATTACAGAACTTTAAATTTACAACACCAAGATCTAGAAAGGCAGTTAAAAGACGTTTACTTTTGGCTAATTGTTTGGAACACGAACTATCTGAGGCTAAGAAGCATAACACAAAGAAACATGTAAGAAGCCTGGTCAACATTGTTTCTGGAAAGGTTGTCAAGAAGTACAGAGGAGTCCGCTACATTGCATCTAGAACTGGAATAAACAGGAGAACATTACTCACGGCATCATCTAAAAATATCATGCATGTGCGAGAGATAAAGTGGAAGACTAGACTGGCTCTTCAGCAAGATGTAGTTGCGTTCTATGAGAGAGATGACAACTGTCGTTGTATGCCCGGGAAAAATGACTTGGTCGGAAAATCACAGCTTCAAAAAAGAGTCTTAAATGATTATCTGGCCAATCTATTCCTAAAGTTTGGGGCTGAGTTCCTGAATGTGAAGCTGTCGCTGTCGTCATTTTGCAAACTGAGACCTGCTCACGTTTTGCCAGTGTCATTTACAGCAAGGAACACCTGTCTTTGCAGTAAACATCAGAATATGGCCTTAAAGTTGAAATCTCTCAAGAGCTTTAATGTTGTTTCCACATCAAGCCCAGATGCTTTCATAAAGGCTCATACTCAGTCAGAGATTGAGAGGCAGCTGTCCCAGATTCAACTTGATAAGGTCACCTATAAGACCTGGAAGAAGGTGACAGACAGCAGGGGCAAGTCGAAGATGAAGCTTGTGGATGAAGAAGTGGCCAAAGATGATTTTATCAGCAACTTTTTGAGTCAGTGTACACAGTTCCGTGAACATGTGGCTCGTGTCCAAACACAATACGCTCAGCTCAGGTTCTTGAAGGGCAATTTGCCGGACTCTCATGTCATCATCCAAATGGATTTCGCCGAGAATTATCTCTGTCAATGTCTTGACGAGATCCAGTCTGCTTACTGGAATGCCACTATGGTAACACTTCATCCAGCTGTTGTATACTTCAAGAACAATGGAGTCCTCTATCACAAAGCTTCATCTTCGTCTCTGATACTATGAACCATAGTTTTGGCACCGTATACACCATTCTGCAGTCATTGCTTCCAGAAGTTAAAGAACTGGTTCCATATCTGTCGTATGTTCATTACTGGACGGACTCGCCATCAAGCCAATATAGAAACAAGACAGCTTTCAACTATGTCCTACAGCATCCTGAGGTGTTTGGTGTTCGGGCTTCGTGGCATTATATTGAATGTGGTCACGGTAAAGGGCCCTGCGACGGCCTTGGAGGTACCGCAAAAAGAATGGCCGATTCAGCCGTGAAACAAGGGAAGTTCAACATACAGAGTGCCCACGACTTCTATGTATGGGCAACTGGGCAACCAAGTTCTGTCGTGTACATCTTCAGCAGCAAAGAAGACTGCGATTCCAATCAAAAGAGACTTGAACAGTGGGGTGTGAAGCCAGTTAAAGGAACTATGACAATTCACGCAGTTTATGAAGCAGAGGGTTGTCTCATGGTAAAGGAAACATCCTGTTTCTGTGATGGATGTTTTGCCTCTGATGGGTTCTTGTCTGTCCCGTCATGTCCATGGCAGAGAAAGGTTCTTGTGACAAACCCGGCTCCAGATGACAATGAGGAGAACGCTCCACAGCCAGAGAATGTTCAGGTTGATGAAGAAGTTCTGCCTACCCAGTCAGAAGCAAACGTTGTCCAAGATCCAACCTGTGAGATATCAATCAATGTTGATGCTGCCATTGTTGCTGCCATTTATGAATTTGACAACAAAGTATATTTTGGCAAAGTTCTGGATATTGACGAACAGAGGACTGTCAAATCTGTTTTATTGAGGCCTCTGGAAAAACCTGTAACTACAAATGGCCACGAAGTTCGGACAGTGAAACCATTTGGGTGAATAAGCGATTTGTACTGGAAAAAGTATCAGACCCGAAGCCAACAGGGAAATCTAAAAGGATGTTCATTTTCCCTCCCGAAGATCGCAAGAGAATCAACACTTTGTACCAGAAATACCTCGAAAATTGATACCATGGTATTTGGTGATGTTCCAAGAACTGTTTCCAGTTGCGTTTCATTACAATCTTAACTACTGTTATTTATTCCTGCCAGAGAACCGTGTGGTATCTTACGTTATGACATTGGTATTTTATGTTAGAGCATTGTGAATTCATGTTTTCAAATAGTTCAACTACAGGTCATTGGAACATAATGTTGCTATGAATATTTTGTCATGACTTCAGACCAAAGAAGGACACTTTGTGACACAATACACAGTTGTATGTTACGTTATTAAAATTAGTATAATACATTATGTATTCTGGTTGTTGTATTTTGGGGCTATGCTCTTTGAATGATTGAAATACAGCTAAAATAAAAGACTCTTTTTATTTTCATAGTTCCGACCGATCGCCCGTCAACCAATCAGATCGCGTCTTTCCGACATCGCGGGATAGCTTGTTGCTAAGGCGCCATTAGGTCCCCAAGCTTTCGGTTGTCAGGACATTTGACCCCTGCAAAGTAGCTTCCGACCGATCGCCGTTTTTAGTGATAATTGCTAGGGAAACGATGTTGCATGGGGACTTGCAAAGTAGCTTCTGATGAGAATGATATCCTGAGGGACTTGCTTGGGAATGCAATTTTCATTCCTTTTCCAAAACCCAAGTTCCGTTTGGAAACGTGTTTGCGATGGATTAGGGCTTGTGGAAGACCCCATCATCAGCTGAATAACAACATCAACAAACACAAATATGTGTGTTCAAAGGTACATTTAATTATTGATTCATTAACCTGTGAAATAATTGTCAAAAGGGGAAGATTTCAGTGAGGTTACCTGTCCACTGGAATTATATTACGTATACTGGAATTATCTATTATGATACGTGCATACAATAGATCTAGTACCGGTACATAGCTAAGCTGACTGCGTAGTGTAAATATTTATTATTTTCTTTATATTAGATTTTTTATATTTTTTTTATCATAATCATAACCTGTAGTGAAGTAATACTGAACTCAGTAGTACACTTCACAATGACTTCATATAATCAATAAGAAAAATGCCCAAATTGTCAGATTGTGGTACTGCCAGTAGATATTGTGATTTCATATTATCAAAATCAATTTTGACTTTGCTCACTTTAAATATATGTGATTAGTGTTAGAATTTCTGAGGAATTTGATAATCAATGTACTGTTTTGACAGCATTTCAAGACCAACAGCAGAGTTCCCATACCCTATTGCTATTGGGGAAATGTGACACCAACCCGGCCACCACCAAGAAAGAGGATCTGGATCTGTGATACCTCCAAGGTATATTCATCTCTAAGGTATATTTCTCAAAAGAAAGAAGTGTATGTAACAGTTTAACATTTCAAGAATACAATGCCTATTAAGAGTTGTTTTGATGTTTTTTGTGCTCATACTACAAACTTTACTATAATTATTTTAAAAAGATTTAATGTTAATGTGACAAACATCAGTATGTAAGAAACAACACAACAAAAGAATAGTACATCATCTATTTTTATTTTGTCCTCACTTGTCAGTGTATGATGACTTTTTTTAATCCCAAAATTTGGACAATGAAGAAAAATTATCAACTTATTTCATGCATCCCCAAAACGTATAACCATGTTTTTATAAAACAAGAGCGATAACAACATATAAATATGAAGCATAAAAATAACAACACAAAACTTAATTATAAGTACACCTGAAATGGTTGACCTCAAAGTTGTGTAATTATGATAAATTATTAAATAATTTGATGCATGTAAAAAACGATTGATCTGTAACAAATTATACAGAAACAAGTGCGATAACAAAATATACCTGTAAATAAAACTAACAAATCTAAAATAACAAAACAAGAAGATTAAACCATTGTGTAAGATGAATAATCTGTCAAAAATAAATGAGATCTATACATGGAGATGAATATATAGAAAATATATCAATATAAAGAATATATAAGAAAATTATATCAAAGTAAAGTGACAACAGGCTATAAGGGTAAATTACTTACTCATAAATTTACCTAATTTAGATTTACAAAAAATATGATATTACAATATTGCCACATATTTACTACAAATAACTATTTTTCTAAAAAATATGTTATTTCAGACAACTGTTTGAAACAAACAGAGAAATATCCCCCAGAAAGTGTCTGTTGAAGAGAATCAAGGTACACAGTCTGGTGAATCATGTAAGTATAACATGGAAAAGCTCAGTTGGGGACAGTCAATTATGGCACTTAAGGCAAAATCTTAATTGGATATTTTTCAGTTGAAGCTGATAGTATTAGCAAATCAAAACCATTAGGCCATTATAATCAATTTAAAACATTTTGAAGTTATATAGCTAATTTCAAAATCTTTCATAACAAGATGGAGACATTGTTTTTCCTGGAATAGGATAGTGAACAACGAATATCCAAAAGCACTTGTTAGTTAACACCATCAATTATTGTACAATTTACATGTCAAGAAATGGCTTTGCATGTTCTTTAAAGAATACTTTTCTAGCATACATGTCATGTATTCAATGTCTGGGAAAATACGCTCAATGTACGCTCTCTTTTTGGGGGTAAACCACATATTCATAGAATTCAGCCCCGGTTATCATTAACTGTGCCTGAAATTGGGCATAATGAGCATGTCTTTTGGATAGTTTGAGAATGGCAATTTCCTCCTGCAAAAATAAATTTGTTATCTTTTCCTATGCTTCTTCAAGTGTAAAGTGTCGAGCTGAGTTCGGGCATTTAATTTCAATAATTCTGTTCTCCTTTTCACAACATATCTTGCCATCAGGAGTGGCTCCAAGGAAACTGAAATTATTGTTGATTACTAGTCCACTCTCATGTAGATGGTTTGAGATTTTGTGTTCTAAATATCTTTTCTTGGCCTGTACTTCAATGTTCTTCCCATAGGAAAGAGATACTGAATGCATAGAAGTCTTGGGAAATAGACTGTTGAGAAAAGATAGTGTAGGTTTCTTCTTTCTGTTCATAACCTTTCCAAAGTTGGAAGCTGTAAGACGATTAGATCTTAGATCTTTTCCAGGATCTGTAAGTTGATACTGGGCATTAAGATCTTCATACCCAGGAGCGAGTTGTACAGGTGACACTTTCGGAAACTTGATGAACGTAGTTGATACTGCACGTGATTTTCAGTCTGAAAATAAGAAATTAAATCATTGGAAATAATAACTTTAAGCCCGGACACATTATTTTATATATTTCATTCGAAATTACAAATTAGCCTGTTATTTTTCAGTCATCGCTCCACTTGAGCAACACCAGACAGTCCAAATTCAGAATCTGAGATCCTAGGTAGAAGATCAAGGACAACAGATCAAGGATATGAAGAAAATTTTAAAGGAAAAAGACAAGGAAATTGTAAAGTTGAGGGAGGAACTTAAGAAATGTCAAAGATTTAATGTGACCAGTGTCTTAGTGAGATCAGGGAAACTAAACGGCCTGTTTAAATACTACACAGGCATTACTTATGTCAGGTTTCTTGCCATATTCAGTTATTGGCCTTCCTTCTGCCAGGTGATCAGGCATCATGTTTGAATTATGAAAAAGGTCATCGTGACATTAGAAAGTTATCTACTAAAGATTGCTTGTTCCTGACTATGTTGACTGTGCCACAGTTTTGGATAAAAAGACCTCAGTATGCGTTTTGGACTGTCATTGCAATCAGGTGGTGTAATATTCAATACCTGGATTGAACACGTGAACTTGAAAATGGGCCAGTAAAGTATATGGCCACATAAAAGTATAATCCTTCAAATTATGCCTGCAAAATTTAGAAAGGAATATCCTTCATCCATGATGATTATTGATGGGACAGAACTGAAGACTCAAGTACCCTGTGCTTTAGGGTTACAGTCTCAGCTATACAGTGACTATAAGTCAAGTACTACCTTAAAGTGTCGTGTATGTTGTGCCCCTTGTGGTTCATTGACATTTGTTTCTGAATTGTTTACAGGTTCAATTTCAGATAAAGCTTTAACTGATCAATCAGGATTTTATGATGCTGTACGAGGCAGGTACAAGAATAGATCGATGTTGTTGCATCCTGTGATATGAATGTGATACTAGTCTCTATGAAATAAATATAATTTCAGTTACATGAAATGTTAGTCTTGTTACTTAAAAAATGATGTACTGAGTGTTATGTTTTGACTGTTTTGAAGAACAGGATCCATGTCCCAATAGATTAAAACATTACCTGATATGACAAGACTGATCCCAAGCTAGACGTCTCCGAGCAGAGTGTTTAGTCACCGGGGTGCATCTGTCTGTAGCACATACTGCAGTGGGGTAATATGTGGAAGTCTGCAACAATATTCATCTACATTATATTCATTTGACACACAGTTTCTGAAAATTAAAAAAAACATATCCTTAGTTCAATGCGTATATACTCTTTATAGACCATTAGGACCAACTTTAAACCTGCACCTGTTTTAGTGATTATGTGCAAAACAGTTTTCACCAATTACAATGCAAAAGTGACAAAAGTATCCATACCTGGTGTCATTGAACTTGACAAATGATTGGCTTCCTATTTCTAGACTGGCCAAGAGGTTGAGCCACAATCACTTGGTTGATAGGCACTGGGATGATCTTGTTGCCCCTGTGAATCTGCGTGGAGGCTGGTGCAACTCTGTTTTTCATGAATGTGCGTGAAATTGTGAGGCTTGATCCCTGAAGTGTCTTCACAAGGCCAATGATGTGGGAACATCTTTCACCAAGTCTAAACAAAAATGAATTCATGTGAAGGAAATCTAAAGATTTTTTTTATAAAAATGAAATACCATTGCATCAAGAAAAACATCTAACCCAAAATCATGTTACTTATTCTTAAGTGTATCAAAATGAACATATAATGATATAAGTGAAATCACAAATAATCTAAATTCGATTTTCAGTAGATTCTAACTTTTAATTTTATTAAAGTCTTTACTTATAATTAATAGTACATTATGTGCTAGGCATGGTGTTTCATTAATAAGTTTATATTTGAAACTGTATATTACTAGCCCTGCGTAACATTTGGAGGCTGATCGAAAACTAAACAATTGAATTTTACGGTTCATTTTTAGCCAAATTACTGAATGGATAAATTTCCTTTTTGCCGATAGTATATGTAAACCCGATGTACAATAAATAAAGAAGTGTAAACATCGTCATGTTTTGCTGCCAAACTTCGATAGGACTAGAAATCAATCAACACACCAGTCATAACCCGACGAGAACAAATGAACGGTCACTGTGCCATTGAAATGAAAATCTCTTAATCTATCAGGCACTGATTTTAAGTGATTTATATGAGGATTTACTGACTTCTTATCAATGACGTACTTACCCAGCTTCACAAGAACAATAGCTGTGAACGATCTTCTCGGCGCTTGTGTCAATCCTCAAATGGAGGGTATGCGGGCTCCGATTCTTCGACATTGACCGCCAGCACATGGCATCAATGTCAGAGGTGTTGTCACGGTTATAAACTCGTATCTCATGGATATAACCCTGTGAAGAAATAGTGTAAGCCTGTCTGTTGCGATTTCTGCGTCAAAGTAGGATGATCTGGCAAGAATGCAACAGATATTGTGTCGGGAACAGGCAAACGGTGCCTGACCGTGTATCCGCCATTTTGACAGCTCGGCATCCCAAAGCTTGGGGGGACGTAGCAACAATAACCAAGGTGGGCGGAGCTTGGGTCGGTAGTCGGAACTATGCATGCCATAAGGCTTTGCTTTCATCTCTAAAATATACAGTGTTATCGCTTCGCTATGCAGATTCCATTCATTGGTATAACACAAATATGATCTAAGAAACAATCATAAACTTTGAAAGATGTAAAATTTACCCGTACCCTCGATTCGATGACTGATGTTGAGCACTCGCTTCGCAAATTCTAGACAGGATGCTTGGCTGTCACAGCTGGTGACCTAGCCGAGAGCCGCGATGGGTCATGTCTTAATTGACTGTATAGGACCGCATCCTCTCGGCTAAGCTGAGGCGTGTTCAGCAAGCCGAGTACACGCGAATATTAGCGAGACCTCGCTTCCGAACACCCGCGCTGAAACGAGTTCACGCGTGTACGCGCGATTTGCCTCAGGAGGTACTAAATCGATTATTTGTACAGGTATTCGTCAGCCGGCAAAATTCTCATAGACTTGCATTGTTAGTTTAGTGTAGCTATAATAATTTTGCAGGTTGTTAGGAAATCATCTTGGTCACAGATACATAATTTCCATGTAATGTTCCGCATTGTAGTTACATGAGCAACATATATAAAACATTGTGCATTCTTTCCCCATAGACCGCCATGTTAAACATTCTCATAACCATGACATGCATCAATCAAAGTGCAGTCATTCTTGAAATACTGAATGGAAAATAAAACGGAAATTATGTCTTTGGAGCTGAGATGATTCATGAGACATGTGCAAAATATGAACAAGATCAAACGACAAATAAATTCAAGGTAACTTTTCTAGCTTCACAAAATTTACATGTAAGTCTATGGAAATTATGCACAGTGACGAATATTCATGTCCAATGACTGCATATTGTTGCAATATTGGCGGGAGTATCTGAACGAGTGAACAAATATTTTCCTGTTTCTTGTGCACACTTGTTTATTCGTGTAAATGTATTTGTATAAATGTATTTGTTTAACGTCTTTCACATGTACAACGCATAGAGCCATGGTTGATGCTGAATGATTATTTTTTTCACCTTCTTGAGGTTTCTATACCATAAGTGTTACCTAATATATTTTATTTATTTCACAAAATGCAAATACTTTTCGTTTACATTAAAGTCATAATGTCGATTTTCTTCATCAGTTATTTTGAAGTTCCCCCATTTTACTAACGTCTATGAATCCACCGCTCAATCCGCCTACGAATCCACCGGATTTCCACGTCTACGAACCAGTCTAGTCTACGAATTCACCTACAGCCATCTGAACTAGACAGTAGATTTTTAGATTCCACTTGTTTCATGAGCCAAACTTTTCATAAATCTTTGGGGCATATTAGTTACTTTTTAGTGTTTTATTTGTGAGTTTTGTTGAGTCGTAAATGATTTTGTATATGTTTTTATCTGCAGACACACAGTTGGCAACTAAGATGTTTATACGAATGGAGGAGAAGTACAAAGTGGACTCTTCAGGCCACAGAAATCTTAGTAAGTGAGAGAGTACACCACAGTACATAACATCTTAATGTATCAGTTACATGGAAACCTGAGTCTGGATTCACTAAACTTCTAAGAATTTTCTTAGTTTTTATACTTAAGTTTCCTTAGAATTCTTAGCTGAGAATTTATCTTAAGTATCAATCCACCATGCGACTAAGCAGAAATCTTAGCTGAGAATTTTAAAAATTCTAAGTGAGAAACGCATGGCAAAGCACAAACGCCGCTCACGTTCAGCATGCGCGAATCATGAGTGGAACCGGGCCATTTCGCAACAACATCAATGATATGTCAGCTGTGGTCAAAGACAACCTGAGTATTGATGCTGTGGTACTGCTTCCTGTTCACATAAATAGGTTCGTGCTGGGATGGTGCCATAATCTGAATGTGGGTGCCATCTATAACCCCAACCACTCCGGAAAAATTAGCGATGCCATAGAAACCAAGTTGGTTTCGTCGGATTTCAGTCGGACTGGTTGGAAACGAAACGAACTGTCGAACAATGGCGGGGGCAGACAGTGCAGTTTTGGTTTGGTTAATGGCCCTACTCACTGAAGACTGTGAAACACCAATGTGGTCCGCATTACATAGCTGCATTTTGCCTGTGGCAAAGTAATGCAGCATGATTAGAACTTTGTCAGTAGCTGATCAAGGATTACTTCTTCGAGTCACAGGTGAAATTTCATTTGAAATGAGACTTAATAAAAATTGTATACCACTTTTGGATAATCTAAATCTTCGTGTCAACTCGGTTTCTGTTGTTTTTTTCTAAAATGTTGGTTCTGTCGATGAATGCATTGGCGGCCATCTTTGTTTACTTTAAGAAAATTCTTAGTGCTTAAGTAACCTATGGAGGATTCTTAAGTTAAGACAAAATCTGAAGCATTAAGAGGTTTGATGAATATTGCTTAAGCAAAAATCTTAGTTTTAGATAGGTTGCTATGGAAACTAAGAATTAGTAGACTTAAGAATTCTTATGGCTTAAGAATATTTACTTAAAATTAATATGGGCAGTCTTTTCAATTAAAATATTTAAGAAATGAGTAATTATATATATATCTTTCACAGGAATGTTTTAACTGTTCACTTTTGAATATGTTTCTTTACTAATAAACATGTGGTTTTTTTCATCTAGGAGCCACTGGTAATATTATCTTTTCTGTTTCCAGCATGTTCACAATAGCTACAGCAAATCCCTTTGCAAAGAATTAATCTTGCTTTAATCTTGCTTAATCATGTCTGTATTACATGCTGTTGTGGGTAGTAGTATTAGTTTCTTAATTATCCCCCTAGGGGGATATAGTCAACGCCCTGTCCGTCTGTCCGTAATGATTTTCTGAAGACTCTTGTTGCTTTTACTATCCTATGTTTCCTATCATTGTCTTATGTGTTCCCCTTAGCACAGTCCTCTTAATACATTTGTCACAATTCATCACCTTCTTATCATGTTAAATGAATTGCACACGCTTATGGCTTATCCATTGGAGGGCTTACTGGTACAATAATGTGAGGTGCACATTCTTGAAGTCTTTCTACTGGTGTGGTTTTCTTTGCCTCTTAATATTTACTATCTTCTCTACTCATCTTTTATAAAGTATACACATGTATGTATAAACCTATGTATATAGTGTTTGGATACAGCTATTTTCAAGATATATATATATAATAAAGTAATTAGTCACTTTCATTTTAATGTAATGAATGAAGTAATATATCTCATAATGGTACTTGTCAAACTTGCTGTAATAGTTATAGATTTGACTGTACATGCTGTATGACATATTAAATTTGTTTACTTTTTGTTGGGTGCAGGTTTGGGAGGAAAGTTATTACCGGTAATCCTTATTTCCTTTTACTTTCAGTTTTAAAGGTAAAGGTATTTTTGTGAAATAACAAAAAGTGGAGATGATTTTACATGAGTAACAATTTAAATATGTTCATTGACTTATTGCTGGAAAAATTATTCTTATTGTAAATGTTCCATAATATTTGCCTTATTTTCATTATCCCATTTTCAAATATTATAGTCATTATATTTGAAGAATAAATATTGTATAGAGCTTTTATTTTTTCATTAAAGGTATTGCTGAATCCTTTGAATTGGCTTCGGAATTTGGATTGTTGAATACTGTCTCCGCTGCTTGTAAAAACAGTGGGGTCAGTATCAGCATGAATATAACAAGACCGACTCACTTTGATGATGTGTCTGCATCTGCATATGTGAAAGATGTGCCGGATGAAATGTTATGTCGCCTTGGGCGGTTAGCACCAAAAGATCTCACGGCACAAGAAAGAGTTAGGTTCCTGGAACAATTGGTAGCATCAGTACCAGATGGTAAGCATTAAATATTACATTTATATGTTTGAATAAACAAGGTCTGTCAGCCATAACTGTCAATCCCAACAATTTTTTTCATTCTGAGTTACCTTTGAGTATCATTTTAATTTGGATGTGGCAAAAACTATAATACCACTAAAGACGGCTTTCATTATTTGCATCTGCTCAAAACCTTTAGAAGCCCTGTATTATATATATGGTCACACTCTTGAATTTGACCCAGTTTATGTATTGCAGATCATAATAGTGAATTCAGTGTTGAACCCAAAGCCAGTACAAGTAGCGCTGGTGCCAGTGACAGAAATAGATGTGACACACTTGGAGATGACATGGAGCTGGACACACAAGATGACATAGGCACGTACCAAGCATTTTCTTCTGCTAAAAATATTTATTCATGGTCTTCTTTCATTTTATTCATTTGGGAGTAAATTATGATTAAAGGAACTAATTCAGAGCAGTTTGCATAAAGCCTAAATGTTAAAAAGCATTTTCCTTTGTGAACTGTTCAACCTAAAATTGTAAGTTTATATGTGTATTATACTTGGGAATCTTAAGTCTGAATGCCTAGCTGTAACAGAATATTATAGAACTAATTTCTTTACAGATTCAGTATTTTCAATGACCACTCACTCCAGTTGGTCAAGCCAGAGTCATCAGTCACAAGGTAATTTAATGCAAATGTTTACTTAATAAATGGTTTATAGAGCTAAATATTAGGTAAAGTTCAGGTAATTCTCACTGAGTCTGGTATTTATCTATTGTTGTCCTCCGCCACAACGCGGAACGTGGGACTAAGTATTCAGCAGCGTATGTCCGTACGTACTTCCCGTTTCTTGTTAACACGATATCTCATGATCTGTTACACGAAAGCAAATAATCAATACGCGAAGGGCTACGACCCGAGCAAGCCAACCAATCATATTCTCTACCTCGACGTTACACCCAATGTCTTCAATTTTTGTGACAGCCTACATTAGGGGAATATGCAGACACAAAATATAAAAAGTAGTAAACATGTTATAAATATTTTGTTCTTCTTTAGCGGTGGGGGACAATGCCACAATAGTGGCAAACACTTGTTATCATTTCTTTTAACTTTGAAATATTCATTTTTGTTGGAAATTTACATGTATCATTTCCAAATGGGTATCTTTACTTTTTTTAGTGAGAATAAACTGGACTGAATGTCAAGTCCGCCTGCTCATTACTCTGCGGCAGCAGTATGAGCATTTGTTTACTAGCAGCATCGTCACCCAGAAGCAGGCTTGGAAGAAAGTAGCCGACGAAATGACTGAGAAAGGTTACTGCTACTCTGGGGATGAATGCCAGAGGAAATTCGGTTCCTTGAGGCTAAGATATTATGATTTCACTGGTACTCAGTTCAAACAAGAAATGGTGTTCTGTTCCTATTTTCACAACTATTCATTCGTTCATTCCTGTTTTCATCCCCATGGCATATAATGTGGGGGGTATAGTTAACACCAGTTTCCAGAGTATAACACGCAACAGCTATGTTGCTGTTGTTCTGATTTCCATGGAAACGATTTGTACTTCATCACAAAAGAGAGAAACAGTACTTTGTCTAAGTTTAATGCACGTTGCTGTACCCGCAACTAGGTGTTTGCACGTTTTCATGTGGCCACCATGTGTAAAGTGCACAGGGTTGTGTGCTGTACACTAGGGGTTGCGACAACACTGAAAGAGTCTTCACACAAAAATGACTCTAAGGTTTATATACTGAGTGGCAGGTGGGCTCGATTCCGGCACCTTGAGCTGGCTGGATCACTAGCCTGACGCGATAGACAGCTCACCCACCGCGCCCCCATTGTGTCTGCAGTTATCAGGAAACTTGATTTTAAAAGGTGGTTTTGACTGATTATTGCAGTCAGGGTTCCTTTCTCTTTGCAGATACAAGACAATAAAGGACCGTAATAACAAGACTGGCAGGGGCAGGTCAACATGGAAATTCTTCAGTCTCATGGATGAGATGTATGCTGGGGATCCAGCAGTTGAACCTGCTGAAGTCAGTAGCCTTCAGAATCCGAAAAATCTAACCAGGGCCCCAAATAGTCCAGAGAGGGAAAGAAGCGACTGTGTAATGCGTTATGATTCTCCTAATACATCCAACAGCAAGAAGGCCCCTGCCAAGACAACACCTAAAACTCCTGTATCTAGGAGAGGCACAGCCTCACTGGCGGATCTATCGGAAATGAGAGAACAACAGAAGAAACAGCATGAAGAGAGAATGGAGGTGGAGAAGAAAAAGATTAGCAATTGAGGAAAAAAGACTGGAAACTCTTCAGAAATTAGTAGATGCTATAGTAAATTCCAAGAAGTAAATTATATATTTATATACTTATCCTATCTCACGACTTGCACCTCTCTCTCTTCATTCGACCATGAGTGGAAACGAATAAAACTTTGCTCCAGGCCGACCTTGTCCCTGTACCCGCGCTGTGCATGCCTTCCTGCCTTAGCTGTGCAGTGTCTTTTTGTCAGAGTGATTTTGTGGTCGGTCTCCTTCACCTCAGGTGAATCAGGATATCCCGTCTAGTCAGTCTAGAGCTAGTGAGCACAATATTGGGACAATATTCAACACGACAGGTCATGATGTTTGTGCCCCAGGAGAGGTGGGACAAGATTCAGTGCAGTGCACTACTCTTTTGTCCTTTTATGGCTCCAAGATCGAGAATGAGTATGTAAGGTGATCATGTGGGTGAGGACTGCGCATGCAACGTGCTGCCACGGCCTAGTGAGCATGGCGAAGGCAGGAAGGCATGCACAGCACGGGGACAGGGAAAAGGTCGGCCTGGAGCAAAGTTTAATTCATTTCCACTCATGGTCGAATGAAGAGAGAGGTGCAAGTCGTGAGATAGGATAAGTATATAAATATACAAGTTATAGTTAAAATTTCCAAATTTGTTTCCATAAGATCCATTTGAATTATTCCTATTTTGTACCGCTGTTTTAGGTCTTCAAAACTGAGATGTCCTTTTTCATCACAAATATCTCTGACATAATGTATACAGACTAAAGTTATAGCAACAATTTTAGGCAATTACCTTGTTCGAGGAATGTATCCGCTTTGGAACATAAAGGAATGATATGCCATTCAGCAGCTGACAAAAAATCTTGTTCCATGTGGTGTCTAATACAGAGTGTATTTAGTATAGATTAGTAAATCTGCATACATATAAACACTACCTTCTCACAGATCCAGTGTGCAAGATAAAAGTAATTCATCAATCAGCGTTATTGGTTAATCCTTTGATCGATGTTTGTTTTAAAAATTTGTAACTCATTTGTTAATACCTCTTGCTGCACTTCCAAGCGCATATAACATAACATGTTATATATTTGCCACATCAGACCTTATTTTATACTGTTGAGTATTTACTCCATACACAAGAAATGCCAAATGGGAACCCTTGTCAGGTAATCTTTAGTGGTGTTACTACTACTATTATTATACCTGTCATAAATTCATGAACTGACCGTCAAGTGAATTATGACAAATAACGTGTAGGTTTATACCTTTACAGCAAATTAGTAGTAATCGCTGTACTGCATGCAATTTCAACTGCCTGAAAAAAATTATGGCCCAACATTGTTTCAAGGATGCAAACTGCTTTGCTGCATAAGAAATACATATAAGCTTTTGTTGTGTACGGAAATATAAAACTGTATATTTACCTAAATAATGTTTATGATTTTTCCAGCCAAGGCAAAGTGGGGTTGTTTAGTTTACGGAAATCAATGTGCGTGTTTAATATCATAGGTAATGGACATGAAATTGTTACATGACATGATTAAATATCGAGAACTCAGTGTTCCCGTTCTCCGGTAATTACCGGATTTTTACCGATAAAAATTGTGAAGATCCGGTATGTTCAACTGCCGTCGGTAGCTGCCGCCGGTAAATTTTGTATTGCTTAAAGTTGCCTTTTATCGGCAGATTTAATAAACTTGCAGTTAACAACGTCTTTGTTTATTCTTTGTTCTCTTCAGATCATTATGCAAACGTATTGAAAACTAGGGTGGCAATCCCATGTCTAAATATAGACTCTAGAGTTTTTTCACAGTTGTAAGAAGCGATTTTATTGGATAAAGATTGGTTTCTAATGACGCTTTTTCGCCACAGTCTGCAATAAGGGTCGTAATTGGTCAAAATCAGACCTAAAGCAGCCAATCATATTATGGCAATGGATACTGTCCTCATAAACGAAAACTTTTAGATTTAGACAAAAGTTTTGGGTAAAATAATGCTATTCTGAACATATTAAGCAAGAAATCGCTACCTATACGTAAATTATGGAACTTATTGGACGTATCGTGCTAGGTTTTGACCTGTGACAAAAATGCTTCATGTATATATTTTCGCATTAAACATCATGTCCGAGCGTGAAGATTGAGGCGGCAAGAGCCGAGATGTCACTTGTCAGTGACTTGACTTACATTACATGATCGCACAAAAAGATGGAAATAGTAATTTTATAAGTACGTTTGACAACTTTTATGAATGTTGTTGTTGATTTTATTCATTAGTTTATTCAATTTATTTAATGAATTCCTCGAAACATCGTTACTTTGCTCTTTGACAATGTTATTGTGGACCCGCTGCCGAAGCATGTGTCCGAGAATCGTTTTCAACTCGTGAAATGCAGATTGAAGTTCACCACAGGTATATAAACATTAATTATTTGCACATTTCACAGGCATTTAGATAGCGAATGACATTCTGAACACATTTATCGAATTTAGTTGGATCGCTTTCATTTTCTGATTGTGTCAATTGTAATTTAGGTCTAATGAACATTCTCGAAAAACAAGCAACACGTACGGCAGACTTTTCAACACATTTATTAACAGTATATCGTTACGAATACTGATTACTTTGTCTCTCCGGATAAAAACTAGTTCAGCCGGAATTTTCAGACCCCGTTGGCATAAGCCGCCGGTAATTTTCAAAACCACCAGGAACACTGGAACTAAGAACCGCATGCATTAAATACATGCTTCAAATATAATGATGGTAATTTGATTGTCTGTGGATTTTGTGAAGAAATAAGTTTGTTGAAGTTACATTTGTTTGGCATGACAGTGTTTAACCATGGTAAATATTTCATTCAGAGAGTAGAATATTGTAGACAGGAAAATATTATGTGCACTTCATCTTAGGTGTCGAGATCCATGCAATGTTCACAGCAGATGTTATAGTCGTACTGTTGTTTCTCCTTCCTGCATGCATTTACCTTCAGATTGTTCAATGCTATTCTGAATTTACAGAATGTGGGTACCAAAGACTTGTCTTGGGAGACAGGTAATATATGTTTCTGTATTAAAATCATTTTTAAATCCAGAGTATAATGACTGATAACTTGAGGTTGAAATTTTCAAATGCTGATCCTGACACCAACATGTTGTGATAACCGAGCCCATGTTTGTAACATATATTACATATATGTACTTTCCACTTTCATGTATGTCATGCATTTTCATTCATTATTAGCATATCCAATCCTGACTATGCAGACTCTATGGGATGCTTGTAACATATCATGTTACCTATATTTACTTTCCTCTTTCAAAGTTGTGCCCAATGTATGTCTATTAAACTTAATGTGTACATATTAAAAAAGACTGTTTTATCCATGTGTTTTGTTTGCATTACAACATAGACGTGTGTGCACGAGTCACGTGATAGCGATTAGATCATATCATCAAGAAGCCATTTTATGTAAATATTTGATTGGATGGAAACAATTGATTTCAGAATAAGAACTTTATTTGTTGGCATGGAACATGGCTGGTAGTAACAAGAGAAGATTGATTTATTTACGTGTCATGCATTTGTACATGTAAGAACATTTATCATATTATTGGAATGTACAAAAAATATGTCCATTTTGGCCTATGAGACACTAAAATACAGTTATGGTTACAATATTAACACATACATCACTCTCACTCAGTCACATATATACATTACATAAGACATTGATTATATTTCCTAATTATTTCCTGAAAAACTTTGACCATGTGAAAGAAACCTATATATCTTTACACCAAGAGATGTGCAATTTCCATTCTCTTTTCAGATACAGATTTAAGTTCTTGAGGATCCCTTTCTGATTGTGCTTCAGTTTCTACTGCTTCAATGTCTTCAGTATCAATGTCACTTTCGTCAAAGGATTCTCGGGTCAAAAATAAAATTGTGCAAAACGCAGCATGTGATAATTACTTCAGGCATTTCCCGAACATTTTTCATGTCCAAGTATTTGAGTTTTCTGAACTTCCCTTTCAAAAAGTCCAAAGCATCTTTCAATGTCCACACGCGTTGAACTGTGTGCATTGTTGAATGTTTTCTCGATTGCTGTCAGATGTCCATTGTCTCTGAATGGGACAAGCAGGGACTTGGACAGAGCATAAGCAGAATCACCAAGTAGGTGGTACATTTCCGGTAACGGATTATCTTCTAAGTAATGACACAGCGGGCTGTTCCGGTAGACCCTTGAATCGTGTGCTGATCCAGGATATGCGCAATAGACATCGATGAACTTCAAGCTGCTGTCACACACACCCTGCAGGTGCATTGCTGGGAAACCTTACCTGCATATGTAGGAATCTCTGAAGAAGCTGGGTCCTGGAATTGGTATGTAAGATCCATCCAGCATGCCAATTACGCCTGGAAACCCAGCTTGTACAGATGCTGCATCAGCAATTTTTCTATAATCTGTGTCCTTGGGCCATTTTATTAATTGTGTCATAATTTGTGTACTTGTCATGGTTCTACAAAAATTGCCAAGAAAATAATGCAAAGAACCTTTGCTCATCCCAAATCTATCCACCACACTTCGAAAAGTTTCCTGGTTACTAAGGTACCACAAACAGGCTAATGTGCGGGTCTCCAGGCTTGTTGTTCGGTAGTCTGTGTTAGGACCAATCATCTCCAACAGGGACTGAAAAGTAAAGTAATTAAAACAAGTTGTATGTGGATAGCAGAGACTAATTGAAGATAAGATTATGGGCTTACCTAAACATGACAGACCCCTTTCCTTTTGTATATATTTCTGTATAAATGATCTGACAATGGGCCAATACTTTTTCAAATGAACTATCACTAAACGCAAACTAGTTTTATTTTGCCTGGTCATGCGAGGAATTAGAACTACTGACTATTTACGTTGCTATGTGATCACCCCGTTTGGGAAAACCAAATAGCAATAATATTACAAGTTTGGTAAAGGTTCCTTCATTTTTAATCATTTATGCACCATTCAGCAAAAACTCCAAAATACCATACCTGCAATGAAGTCCTAGTCATTCGGAAATGTGCCCTGAATAAAGGGTCACTGTAACGTGGCACAACTTCTTCCACGTACTTCTCGATTCGGACAGTCCCCAGTGGTTCAGTGCGTTGCATGCATATTTTTTCATATGCAGTAATCAACATATTCTCATCATCCAGGTAGGAAAAGTCAGCATGAGGCACTATCCTTGTTAGTTCGCTCAACGCAAGATGTACAATATTCGCATTGTCCATATTCGCCGCCATTTTGAAAACAGTGCTGCCACGCAGGCGAGTACACGCTTCCGTTCAGGAACGGCAATCGCGTACGCGCACTGGCGGTGAACGAGAACTCGCCTTGCTGAACACGCGGCAGGTCCCACCGTAACATGAATTCGGCGTTCTCCTGTTTTCGGCGATCATACTTCTCGCGTGATTTCGCCCGAACGCGCGCGAGGTCAGGGGTCAGTATGCAAATTTCCTGAAAGGAGGTCACGTCAACTCGCTCAGTGAAAAAAGTTTTCAATAATGGAAATCAGGAAGGTAAGAATAACAAAAAAATAGCAGTACCTAAATAATAACATGAATTTTCTTAATACTTTATTTTACCTCATTATAAACACAGCAAAAATAACTCGGTTTCCGCAATGCGGAAACCTGGTAGAAAGTGGACTGAAACTTAAGTTTCCACCTAGAATCCAGTGAGTTTCCGTTCTTTTACATTGAGTTTCCGCAATAACGGAAACTTACAATTACCCACTTTCCAAGGGTTTCCGCAAGGTTTCCGTTACCCACACTCCAACAGGTTTCCGCAAGGTATCCGTTACCCACACTCCAAGAAGTTTCCGTTGAGTTTCAGTTAACTTTGAATCCATCAGGTTTCCGCAAGGTTTCAGTTATTAAGACTCCAACAGGTTTCCGCATAGTTTCAGTTACCAACAATCCGACATAGTTTCCGCATAGTTTCAGTTCCCAGCAATCCGACATAGTTTCCGCATAGTTTCAGTTCCCAGCAATCCGACATAGTTTCCACATAGTTTCAGTTACCGGTTTCAATTTCAGGTTCACGGGTTTTCATATGCGTTTCAAAGAGCTAAATGTAAACATTCTTCTTTATTTATATCATAAACTCTTGTTCAAAATATAAGCAATTTGTTATTATCATGACATTTACTAAAAGAAAAACAGAATATATAATAAGATTCATTGTTTTATTTTCTCAACATGGTATGGATTAGCATTTAAGGCAAATAAAGATCATACATATAACTAGTAATATAGCACTAAAGAACAGGGCAAAACATGTTGGCATAACTCAATCCAGTTTTAGAAATCATATATCATTTATAACAAAGTTGTAATTTTTCATCAGTTAAACTTTCATTCACTTATTATCTTGAAATAGCATGTTAGATACGAAATTTATTTCTAAAATCAGGCTAATGATGAAAAATAACAATAACATACAACTTAACACAGTGATAAAACATAGTTGCATCGGACATTTATTTGCACGCCTTGGCATTCAGCCACACACTCTATGTCACAACTATCGCCAAACATCCCCTATGATATACAATAACAACATACAGCTTACAATACAAAAATAAAATAAAAATTACATTATGAAATTGAAAATAAATTCAATTAAATTGCAAGAGCTGGTCAGTGGGCCCTGTAAGGGGCATCCCTGGGCGGAGATCCCTCTGTTACTTTGGTTGGATGTCTCATCCTCGTCCTCCTGTTGGCCTTGACGAGAGCAGTGGAGGTGTAGATTCTTTCCAAGTCCAGTGTCGTCGTGTATGCCATAAGCTTGCTGGGCTCACAGACAAAGGGGACGGAATGCAACTAATTGACGTCATCTTCGTCACTCACGACTTGTGATGTCATGTCTATGGTGAGTGTTGTCGCTACCTTTTTCTATCGTCTATCTGGCCAATCAATAGATGCAAGTCTGTTTGGGCGTTGTGCAAGTTTCTGAAAATGGCAGGTTATAACGAATTACTAGGTTATTTTGATGAATTACACAAACATCAATCAACAAGAAACTGACAATGCCAAGGATGATTTAAAATGAGTAATCCACAAGTAAGTTTGAATAAAAGAGAACTAAATTGAACAATCACACTTTGCACTAGTTTTCTCAAAACTCAAATTATGCAATTCATCACACTTCATTGACCGAATGTAATATCTTATTTTCTAAAGAGGACACACAATCTATACAAACTTTGCTCTGGAGTTACATGCTTCCCAGACCAGAGGTAGTAATATGTTATATATAATATCTGAACATTTATTGCATTTTCTATGTAGTAATAATGGTACTAGTAATAGATTTTCATCAACGTTGTGGTGTCCACCTCCGTGATGTTGCTGGAATATTGCTAAAAGCGGCGTAAAACCAAACTCAGTCAGGCAGTTGTATTGTTGAAGGCACAAGTATATTCACCCAGTAGTGACTGTATGTTTACACCATTACGTCTTTGAGGTGTATTTAGAAGTGAATAATACAAGACGCGAATGTTTCCGGATGTCAAGGTCTTTATTATGTGAAAACACAATGTTTCGGAGTGAATGCTTACACCTGACGAAGGGGTAAGCATTCACTCTAGCTATGTTTTCACATAATAAAGGAGTTGACATCCATAAACCTTTGTCTCTACTCTATGAATGGGAAATAATTTACTACTTATAATGAAAGTCACTACAGATAGGTCAAAATTACCTTCACACATGTTTCAGCTGACCACCCTTGGTCATTCGTTATACAGTCTGCAGACTCATCATCAGCTGAAAAAATAAACAATAACACGTTACTTTTCTTTGCATTTCTCCATTCATTCATTTGAGGTTTAACAAACCCCAAAACAATTGCAGCGACATTTATACCAACAAACGCAAACTACAGATTTATCACTTTAAGGTTATGCAATGAGTAAGTGAACGGCCTGACATAAACATCCTGATGAATGAAGTTCAGTTATCTCATGTGACATAACCTTGGAGTAATTACGGTATTGTAAAATCAAGGGGTCAGTTTTACTGCCATTTCACACAGGTGTGAAGTTTATTTGGTCCAATTTGAAATCATGATTAACTTACCGGTTATTCAAATCCATTTGCAAATGTAACTTGAGTATGGTTCATTTTGTGAAAATGTATCTAGGGAAGCATAATAATAAAATATTCAAAGTGAAATTACGTCTATGTTTCATAGTACCATAAACACATACCTTCAGTTAGAGAGGGTGATCTTTTCTTCCAGAAGTGGTCGTGACACGTTTCCTCTCAACAGCCTAAATGGATAAAACAAATCAATTAATATACAATCTATTTGCTATATTTTTCAAAATTGTAGTATATTTTTCGATAGACACTTATTTTACTTCACCAACCTTTGAAAATAGTTCGTGCAAAACTGTTTATACAGTCAGGGGACTTAAATATACGTCAGTCGGCAAAATTATCATAGACTTGCATGCTATTTTAGTGTAGCTATGTAATTTTCATTAATTCAGTTTTCCATATTTGGTTGTCAAATTATGCAGGCTGTTAGGAAATAATCTTGGTCACAGATACATAATTTTCCGCATTGTAGTTACATGAGCAACATATATACAACATTGCGTATTCTTTCCCCATAGACCGCCATGTTAAAAATTGCCATAACCATGACACGCATTGAATTGAAAATAAAACGGAAATTATGTCTTTGAAGCTGAGATGATTCAGAACCCATGTGCAAAATATGAACAATATCAAACGGATATCAAATAAATTCAAGACATATTTCTAGCTGCACCAAATTAACATGTAAGTCGAATAATGCATAGTGGCGAATACCTATGGCCACTGGCTGTAATTCGATAGATTAGCTTGTTTACCAATCCGGATTATCTGTACGTAAAGTAAATAATTCATAAAACGTTATTTGACAACGAAACAAATTGGTCTTACCTGACAGGGTCGTGGTACTGCGAGTTTTTCGCAGCCATTTCCATCTTTCTTTTCCAGGTAGCGAATTCTCTCTTTCAGTGCTTTGAGGAAAACTGAGGCGGCTTTGAAAATCGCGACTCGCAAAAGGCTCACGGGAAAAACTTTGTTGTTGTTGTTTTCAATCTAAATCTAACATTACAGTTTGACAATATCTTTCCGCGTTATACAACAAAAATAAACATACACTATACACATAAAATGTCAGCTGTGTGTTTTTATAATGATTTAGGTAGTCTCGCGTGGACGTGATCCGGTCGCCATTGTTTTATTTGTTTACATTGCCGACATCAAAGGGGACCGTGAAAGGTGGAAATGAGCAGATTGAATGTGAGTACCCAACAGTGGGCTTGTATGGGCTTAAGGGTCTTCTCATCGCATTATGGGCACTAATTGCTCCTCCTCAGTGTCAAGCATCAACATGTAGGCCTAGAGAAGTGAATAAATCTGAAAACATATTCACGTTACTTTAAAAGTCCTCATCGAGCTCCATGAGTCCTACTCATGAGAGATTGTGTTAGTGGCAAAATAGGTGATTTTCAAAACCCTGTCAGGAGTAGGCAATATACGTTCTGCTGGACGTAAAACTTCACCAGGTAAGTAATTTACCTATTGAGCTCAAAACATGCACATGTATTAGACATGCTTATATCATGTTCATTCTTTTCAGTTCTACACGTAGATCTACGTACATTCCTGTATTATAACTTTACTTATCTAATTATATGTGATGTCAGCTCAATATATCTACGTGAGCGAGTTTAGTATTACGCCGCACTCGGCAATATTCCAGCTATATGGCGGTATTTATCCAATTATACCAGTACATCTTTTTTATCATTTTATTACCATTAAAACAATTATAACATATACTTTACACTCATAGCTTTGTGTAATAATTTAGGTAATCAATTATTGAACCTCTTAGCCTTACAATGCATTGACACAAGTCACGTATAACATTTCTAAAAGAATCTTTGTTTCAATTATTTGATTTACAGATACGTATTGTTGGATCCACTGACTTGTTGGAGATTGACAAGAGGAAGCGGCTTGGTAATCATTTATAGTTACACCATACCATGCTCCTAATTTCATTAAAGGAAATCTTAAAACAATATTTTTTATTCAGCAGCATTTAGTCAAAAACAAGTAAACACTAAATAGATACATAGAATAAATTTCTTTATCTTTGTGAAAAATATAATCACTCAAAATGTAACAGTGCGTGGATTCCAGTGTAACCATAAGTTTAACATATGTTATATATGGGATTACACTTTCATAAGTTAAGATATGTTGATATGTTTTTCAGTTCCAAGAAAAAGACCCAGTTTTCTGTCCGCACTGCCAGTCGTTTGTTTCAAGGAAACAAGGAATCGTCTGGAATGGACGGCAGTTTCTCATCAGGTTAGTCCAAAATACTTCACTTCATAGGTTTCATTTAACGACTTCAGTTTGATCTATCCCATTGCTATCCATCATATATCAATAATGAATATCTTTAATTATTGTAATTTGTTTGATTGGCATTTAGAAGTTGGTGACAAATAAGAAAGTAAGAGAGTTTATGGATAACAACTTCTTTATTATATATGTTGCGACGTTTCGGTATGGATTCTTATACCGTTGTCGAGCAAGAGTGTAATTATTGTATACCAGATATGTAACTGTAACTGAAAGTGAATAAGTTGTGTTACACATTTTACAGTTTTAAATTAAATTAAAGGTCACATAAAAATAATATTTTATGTTACTATATTGCTAGGAATGTTTCCTTAGAGAGTTGATAAAACTAAGAAATACCCACGATTTTTCATTCATGGGAAATGTTAGGTTTGTATGCTTTTCTCAGTTGAGTTGGTCATTTCAATTTGAATAAGATCACATATATAATTATGTGTTACATTTAGTGTTTAAACATAATTCGTATCTATTTAAAATATGTATGTACCGTTTTACATATGCTTCGATTTCAATTGGCGATTTGGTAGTAGATGTTACCTTGAATATGAGTACAGTAACAGTAATAAATATTACAACAATTTGCTTCAGAATACTGGGTTGGCTGCTATTTTCTGGTACCAATCAATAAAATAAGTGACATGTCAAATGGAAGATACAATATACATGTATACTACATATCTTTCCTTTGTGATTGTGAAAAAATATTTTGGTTACATATACAAATTAGTCGTTCTAATTATATAATTTCATTGTGATCAGATGTACCACTGTGCATGTTTATGAATATGTATAAATGTGTTACTTTGGATGTTTTTGCAGTTTTACTAAGCATTGTATGTATTGTATTTGCAGGATGATGAAGAGTCTGTGTGGGATGATAAGGATGGCAACGATGTGCCAGACATCAACCAGGACTCTTCATATTCACCCACAAATCTTAAGTAGAGCATACACCATCTGTTTGCGGTTGTGGACTGGTTCAAGCCTTGTTGTAATCAACTTGGTTATATTTCCCCTTTCTTTGTGTGGCAAAACTCAGGCTCAACTCAAGGCTCTGCGTCATATGTACCACATCAGAGGATTGTTGGCTGCTCAGTGTGAGTGCAACAGAAGCTTCATGGTTGTAAGCAAGTTGCCAAGTCTTTACTATGTGAGATTGTTAGTGTGTATATGTTAAGATACATTGAGACAGCTTCAAATGTACACTTCATGTATATGTATATGGGCCCATGACCTTTCATACAATAAACATTTGAATTTGAATTTGAAATCTGTTTTATAAATACCACAGCAAATATGTTATGCCTGCACTAGTAGACCTCATTTCATCATATGCATAAAATGTTGTAGGGTTTTGACATATTTGTATTTGCATATTCATACAGAATTTGTTTTCTCCAATGCTGAAAATTCCCCTTTTGATATGGGCATGCATGCATGCATGCATGCATGCATGCATGCATACATACATACATACAGACAGACAGACAGACAGACAGACAGACAGACACACAGACACACAGACACACACAGAGACAGACACACACAGACACACACACACACATTGTTGAGTACTGTTGAAATGTGAGCTATTCACAATAATGAAACAGATGAATCATAACAGTGCATGTGTCACTGTGTTTGTTGTTTTTCGGGTACAATGTAATAAATTGTACATTCACAAGTTATGCAGAATGGTAGTGAGTGAGTTGCATAGTCACATCGGTAGCCATATCGTGACTATGAAAGTCGTAACTCTAAATTTGTAAATGTGTACATGAAATAAAAACAAACTTATATACTTACCTGTCTTCGAAGGACAGTAAAATAACTAATCTATCACAAATGTACACTAAAAACTGGCATGTAACCATAAACACTTTACCGGTACAGCATAAAAATGAGCTATAGATTGCCAACACCTGAAGGTTGATCAACATACTAGGGACTACGGCACGAACAGTACTTTTGCTTCCTGCATTGACCCTAACTGGATTCTGTAAACAGAAATTATCTTGCAAATGTAACAATAAGTAAATATAGTCCCCCAATGGAACAGCACAAAGCTAATTATAAGTTTGCCATTTCATCTAAGCTGAAACCAACAGAAACCTAGCGGAAACCTACATTACCCAGTATCCAATAGGTTTCCGCAATAGCGGAAACAAAGTCATTTCTCTTTGAATGTTTCAGCGAACTGAAACTAAATGGAAACGCATAATGATAGTTTCAGTTGTAGAAACTTGACGGAAACCTAGATTTGTTAGTTTCAGTTTTGTAAACTATGCGGAAACTCGCATTGTCTGTTTCCGGATACTGAAACCTAGCGGAAACCTACATTACCCAGTATCCGTTAGGTTTCCGCAAAAACGGAAACTAAGTTATTTTTGCTGTGAAAGCTGTGTAAATAAGGTAAATGAGCCGACTATCAATCTTCGTTTGCATCGTCTGCTAGCCGATGATGTTTGTCAACATTATATCACGTGACTTGTGACGTAAGATGCCGCTTGATTAAAAAAACTACGGAAACATTTTCGGGCCATCCTTATCCAATTTCTCCGTAACGTTAAACAATTTCTCATAGGTTTTTCTTGTATCCTTTCAGACAAATACGACTGTGCGCGGTCCGTATAGGTCCAATTACACCAGAGATGATCTAGATAATGCTTACAGACTAGTGGTAGAAGAAAATGTGTCCGCACAGAGAGAAGCAGCCAGGTGGGGGGTTCCGGTTTCTACCCTTAAGGATCGTTTGTTGGGCAATATCAGCGTAGATACTGTCAAGTCGGGTCCCATGGCTCTGTTCTCCTCACAAGAAGAATCCTTTTTAGCAAGCCATATCAGAGTTATGGGGGAGATTGGCTATGGTTATACGCGTCAGGAGACCATTAATCTTGCAAGCGATTACGCTGTCAATCAAGGACACAGAGACAGAGATCATCCTTTAAGTCTCCGATGGCTGTACAGTTTCTTAGATAGATGGCCGGAACTTAAAGTACAGAAACTGAGGAAACTTGAAGCAGCGAGGGCGAGATCAGCCACCAAAGAAAACATCAGTCGGTATTTCACAGAACTCTCCAACATCATGCAAAAGTACAACTTTCAAAGTTCACCCCAGGCAATTTTTAATATCGATGAAAAGGGACTATCAACTGATGTAACACCACCCAAAATCGTCGCCGGGATACATTGCAAACCACAGACCGTGACATCTGGGAAATCACAAACCGTAACAATGATTGCCGCTGTTAACGCAGCTGGTGGCAGCGTTCCCCCTTACTTTGTATTTCCTGGACATTGTTTGAGAGATGAGCTGTTATCAGGAGCTACACCCGGTACTGGAGGCACAGTTTCAGAGACAGGGTGGTCTAATACGGATGTATTCAGCACGTATATGAAAACGCACCTGGTCCGACACTTGCCATCACGCAGCGCCGACTCTCCCGTTTTCATCCTCTATGACGGACACAAGAGTCACGTTTCCCTTGGATTGTTAGAATGGGCACGGGAAAATCACATCGTCCTATTTGTTCTTGCCCCTCATACAAGCCACCTCCTACAGCCACTGGACATCGGATGTTACGGGCCTTTTGAGACGACATGGATACGATCATGTCATTCATTCTTAAGAGTGAACTCTGGAAAAGCTATCGGAAAGCATGATATATGCAGCATAGCATGTCGTGTTTTCAACTCAACGTTAACTCCTGTTAACATTTTGTCATCTTTCACAAAATCAGGGATCTTCCCCCTCAACCCCGAAATGATTGATGACTTGGCTGTATTGCCGGCCCGATCTTTCTCTAGACCGACACCCGCGGTTTCAAGTTCAACAGGTACGCTCGTACAGGACACCGACGACAGACTGGATACTGCAAGGACATTCTTGGAATGTCGAGGTGGAGAAGTTTTGAGAAATGTTCAAACATACAAGCCAAGGAACACCATCAGTAAAATCGTTGGCGGGAAAGTCATCACAGATCAGGCAGTTGTTGACAGGATAGCCGAGCACAAGAAACAGCATCCAGAGAAACGGAAGGCTGATAAGGAAGTCGGCAAGGGGAAGAAGAAGTCAAGCGGCACTACATCGTTGTCCACATCGTCCCTGTTGTCTAAAGGGAATTCTGCCCAGAATAAGTCAAAAGGGAAAGGACCTGCACGCAAGAAACGCAACGCTCCGCCCCCATCAACAACCTTCTCAGACAGTTTTTCCGACAGTGCAACTGATGACGACGAAGTTTGCTGTGTGTGCGGAAAATTTACACCCGATGCATTGCATCGTTGTGACTCAATCACGTTTGTGAAATGGGCACAGTGTGACAAATGTGGTCACTGGGTTCACCTTGTCTTTTGTACAAGTGTCACCGTTTTACGTACACATGCGGCATTTTTCTGTCCCCACTGTGATCACAGCCCAGTGGAAGAGTGAACTGCATTCATAAACAGTCATCAACAGTGTATATAACCTGTTTGGATTTCATCGTTATCTGTGCTTGAAATTGTTGAACTGACATTTTATTTTAACTCTTAAAGATTGACAAGTGACTAGAAGACACGAATTTGCCTTGATAAATTATATCCACACTGGAACACCATAGATATTCTGTGTATAACGTTATCGCCGAAAACTAGTGACGTAATGCTCAAGTTGCCAAATGTAGAACGTTACGGTCATGGCGGCCTTGCTCAACCGACGAAGCCGAGAGAATCATAAAAAAGTAAGAGGAAACAACTTGGCTAACGTACTTTGCACTTTACGGGTCCCCGGAAGTTTAGCTACAGACATGCGCAGAAGCCATATTTACATCGAAGCGAGCACTAACGCTGACGCCATTTTTTGTTGGCTCCAGCGAATAACAACATCGCTGTTTTGGTCCATTCAATTACCCTTGGATACTAATCGATACACTAAACAAAACAGGTAAGTTAACATGATGTAGCACAGCGTGATAACAAATATCGAAATGCTTCACTTACCATATATTACAAGAACAAATCTGCGCCTCAATTGAATAGACCGATCCAGTCCCGGCCGATAAGCCCCGCCCACTTCGTTTTTGACGTTAGGGGGGACAACCACGGACTAATCACAATGGTGTCACCGCCGGCGAAACGTACGTGATTGTGAACGTTGTTGATGAATTCTGCTTGTAGTACGTTGGTATCCGTCGTTTGTGAATGATATTTAAAGAGGAAAGTTATACGTACTTTATTTTTAATATATTTTAGTTGACAGATTGTAATTGGCGAGTGAAAATGAGTTGCATGCTCGATGAAAAAAATCGTCTCGACCAGCTGCTGAGTGTGGAACGTGTTTCCTTTCGAACCAAATAACATATTTGGCAATTCACATCCGTCTAAGATATTAGCAGGGAAAGGGTAGCAGAATTACGTTGTTTTCTTTTTTTCAAAAATTCCCATCGTAATATTACAAAAAACGTGAACACAGCCACATGTTCAAGTTGGAGATCATTTCGGTATCTATAAATAGATTGTCAAAGCTTTATTTATTTATACGTTGTTCAAATTTAGTTAAATCAATAATGTGAAAACATGGGTTTCTACCTTTTAATGAACTAAGCAGAAAAATGTGTCCCGTCTACTACTTCGTCCACCTTATTTGTCTATATTTGTAAACAAATAAATCACTGGATATCCTATTTGATCTTATTTGGGAATCTGGAAAAAGGTTATTGGGCTTGTAAACAGTATGTTTGCATGGATGTATCTGGACATACCCAGAAGCAAATATTCAGCAGCTAATCTGCTAATTCTCAGTATAATTTCTCTCTTCAAAATCTGTACACCATCCTAAAATGACACTGAATATAAGGAAATCCATTTTTAAATCATCCTTTCCAATATATTTTTCTATGTGTACTTTGTTGTGGTATCATAATTTACAAACTTCCACAATACCGGGCTTCATGAACTGCCAGCATTTACGTAAGGTATGTCACACCACAATAACACAAAGAAGATCCAAGTCTTCACCTGTACACTGACCCATCTTCCAGACATAGGAAACCTGTGATGCAAAATCTTTGAACAGGGGATCCACAGTTATCCAAACAATTAACTAGCATTGAAATAGAATGTTACACAAAATACAAATATACTGCTTTTTCTTCATAGATATTTAACTACTAACTACTAATGTAAATAAGGTGTAAAGAATAGATCCTAAGTTCAAAGCTTTTCGTCAATAAAATTACATATTGTCATTATTGCTTCTTAAACAATGATAATCTTTGTTTTATTAGATCTGAGACCATATATCCCTAAGGGACATAACACTAATTTTGATATATTTCCTTTTCTGAGATACTTACTAGTGTCATCAAAAATATATTTAAGTTGTTTCTAAATTGGTAACAAATGAAAGTTTAAGAAAACACACATGAAAATGTCCTGAAGCGTCCTGAAGCTTTCACCTCCTTCAAACCAGTGTGCAATTTAATATGAAGCTCATTTTCCAAATAACCATCCACAAACCTTGAACAATTTGTCCCAAACCACCATCTTAATAAACACTACTTTGGCTCAAATGTCTTCAAATAATGGTAACCTCCTCAAAAGCTGATGATTTCTAAGAAGTTTTACATCAAATCTGGGATAAATATATGTTTCAATATTCATTCCAGTTACATGACTAGTCAACTGAAAATTTTGTAAGTTATTCTGTTCCAAGACTGAATAATGCCTGACCAGTGTGTGACCTATTTCTTTTCAAATTTTCGGGATGTTGAAATTTATTATCATGAGCTTGATACTAGTAAACATTTTCAGAATAATCCTTCAATTAAATATATTATTTAAAAAATCCAAAGATATCTTACAGCAGGAGCCAACAAACTAAGTTAATTATTAGCAAGTGATTGTTCTGCCAGGGTACGTATTTAGTGTTTGTTTGCCTAGCTCTGCCTTAAAATCACATGAAACTGATATGTCAGTCAATTAAGTAGTTATTTATAATTAATTGTTATTATTTATTTAATTACCTTTCCACGTTTACTTAAGGACGCAAGATTCTAAAAACATACCTTGCTATCATTTCCAGTGAATTATAATTGAAAGTTACGTTATTACTCCTAAAATGTACCAGTGCGCCTCCCCTACATGTTAAAAAAATTATGTTGTAACAAAACTTCAAGAAGAAATAATGTTCTCATAGTTAAGAAATACACTTTTATTTCACTCCGTCCAATATTCCAGAAAGTCACTATTCTTCTCACATAGTTTTCGTCTCTGATCCACATGGAGTAACGTAATTCAATTCAAGGTCCCATCTCTTTATAAACATTCTGAAATATTTATGGCATGGTTTTATAGACACTCATTTGAATTAATTTTGTTATTTGGATGTTGCCTGATAGGCAACTGCTGACACTGACTGTTCCCGTTTGTATAAAAAAAATATTATTTCTGGAATATTTTGCACTAATAACAGATACTGTACTGTAGGCTTTCAGATTGTGTTTTTGAAACTTTAAAACATCCTATAATGTGTGACAAATTTAAGAATATTTAAGGGCGATGGTAACAACATTCACCACATTGTTCTTTAAAGTAACAAGTTCTGCTATTTCGATCGACCATAACCGAAATCAGATCGCTGTCAGATTTGTTTACATTGTGTCATGGCTTTCTCGCCTGTCTCATTTCAGCTTTATGGTGTACCAACTCAATGCCCAGTATTGACAAAACACGTTAAGCAAAAACAATTTTGTAGTTACAAGAATTGCCCGTGTTTATAACACTTGCAAAGTCTTAAAGTGCTATTTGTTGTCATCTACTGGTAATGATTTTGCACATGTGCGAAAGTGTGTAAATTCGTGCAAATTCTCACCCTCAAGCAGACGTAGGTTTCGTGAGCGATGGTGCAGGCATTTCATTGATCGTGAGGCATATCGCGCTCCTTGATCCGCTTCAAATCTTTTGTCTCGACCATAATGGTCGTGTTAAAGGTACACATCAAATCGCAGCAATATGTAACAGATATAGCGAGTGTGAATGGCATAATACGAAGCACATCGCTTCCGAGGCATCGTTTGACCCCGGAAATAAGTCTGACAAATCCACAACGCGCGCCCGGCCTGCTGATTGGCCAAAATTGACGCATGCGCCAGTTTTGATTGACAGACTGGATCGGTCTATTGACTTACCTCACAAGAACAAATCCGCACTGGAATTAAATACATCATCTGCGCTTTCATTTTGAATGGCATTTTCTTTATTTTCAGTTTCAACTATTTTAAAATATTGATGGTTTTTTGGGGGGTCAAATACACGGCGGATAAAAGTAAGAAATGTAACGAAAGGATCATCAGAACAACGTAAATATTTCTTCCTCACAATGTACTCCACAAAATAACTATCATACACTCCTTTCGTAGTTCCATACCTGGGCAGGGACGCTTTCACCGCTCTCCACGTACTCTCAATTTTATTAGTGCACGCACCATTCTCTGCATTCACAAATTCCTTACTATTGTTGTGAAAGCCTAGTGCTAGGGAAAGGCGCTTACCTTGCTTAGTAAGCGTAGATGATGGGGAGATCAAGGGTTCTGTAGGTATACTGTGATATCGTCCGTTCTGTTCTGTGTCTCGTCTTGATCTGCTAATTGTCACCTGTCAGATTTGGCGGGTAAGTTGATCACGTGCCTCGATCACACCCGGAAACATACGAGCAGCATCAGATGGCCAATCCAATGTTACCCGATGTACGAGTGTGGAAGCACTGATCACTACATTCCTCCCCTCTTTTCTGGACTTGCCCCCCACTAGGACTGCAGTGAGTATGGCTAAGGGAGGATCTAACAGGTGACCTCACAAAGACATGAGAAAATCCCTGCAGGGTTGGGCAGCAGTGTTGTGCTATCACCCGAGACAGTTCACGTAACTCATGATTAAAGTAGGTTATACATCTGAATAAGAAAATCCCCAACCAGGTTGTTTGGTGGCAACCAAGTCGGTTCGCATAACTTAATAGATGAATTGATTAGTCTAATAGTCCAATTATCTAAACCGGATCGATGGACTCATTTACAGTCCTGATCAAGTTAGATTTAGGACAATGCTTCACTTGGAATCTAGACCAGATCGGTGGACTCAGTTAGTCCTGAACAAGTCAGATTATGGAATCCTATTTCTATGAATGTTTGTCTTACACTCGGTAGAACTGGATCTGGTTTAGGCTGACTGGAATTGCCCACCTAAACATTGTCAACTGCACTGATCCTGAGCTTGTAGGATCTGACAGCTTGAAGACCTCATACGTCGGGACTTGTTCTGTAAGGAGACACATTGACTGGATACAACACCTATATGGAATTCTCATTGTTGCCATTTTAGACTTCATCTCTGTGGCGGATGATATATCGCTGTATGGGGCTGTTACCGTCCTTCACTGGTCGCCATTGCATGGTGCAGTGTTTGCTTTGGTTGCATGCATCACAACAGAGAGAACTACAGGGTGACAGGGAAGTTCAATGCCTATAAACATTGCTACTCTGTTGTCGTTGCCCCCTGGTGAGATGACCCGACACTTGTAGCGACTGAA